GAGTAATGTGAACCTGGCATTATGTGTGTGCGCTGCGAGTGTGCATGAGCGCACGGTCTCCAGGAGAGCGCGCATGCGCTGAATGGTTAAACACTGGCAAGAATTAAAAAGAAATGCAATTTATCAACTTTAGTGACGATGTGACACTGCCTCATCTGTGCAAGTGACAATTCCTGTGTCAACTGTGCAGCATGCAGCTAGCTTATAGACAGACTGGATGTGTGGTGATTTGAATCCATTTGCGTATTTTGAGAGAGAGCGCGCCGGTGATTCACTCACGCCGTTTGTGAAATTACGCCTCACACAAGGTTTTCAAATTACTTTATAAGTTATTTAATGAAGAAATATGAGCATTATAATTATTTCACCCAGGCAGGACAGAGACAGACGGTGCCGCTGCATGTCGTGCCAAACCTCTCACGGCAGCGTCATCAGCTTGAGATCGTTTGTTTGAGATCGGCTTTTAAGAGACCGCCGATCGATCATCCCAACGTGATTATCGGCCGATAGTGATCGGTAGACCATCAATCCGAGCACCCCTACTTATTAGTACCTAAATCACTATCAGTGTGATTGGGCAAGTCAGTGTGGGGTTGGTGGAGTTTTATTTTATCCAGGAGGCACAGATCCTGTGTGCTCAGTATTGAATCTGGCTGGTGTCTTCAACAGTTTATGCCTGGAATGTGGGGCTGATTGTGGTGAAATGATGTTTGATCAGGGATGATTTTAATCATACTTCACACACTAATCAGTTTAACAAACTCAGAGAAGACTTAAAGGCAAGTAGTGCTTCTGGTGTTTGTTCTGTTCTCATACGCTTTTAAAATTCCCAAATTTCTTTTTCCCTTTTTAGAAGTATTGAGCTCAGTTGGGAATCTCCAAATCTGAGCTTGTTTTCTGGAAAACAATCCATCAGTTTGTGGTTTTGATGAGCTACTGTATGTTTCATTCTTAGGGTTTAAATTAAGGTAAATACTGAATAGTATTGTAGAAAATAAGATTTTTTCATTTTCTTTCAGATAAACTTCAGATGTAAACCATCTTTCAGGGAGTCCGGTTCACGGAACATCCGGGAAGTGAGTTTCTTCTTTTCCTCTTCTTTATTTTATTTTTTAAATATCTCTCCCATTCTGCCTGTTTTCCGATTCTGTCAAACTTATTGCTGTAAAATCTTCATAGCTCGATATAAACAGCCAACAGCAGTCTGCTAAGAGACCGTTTTTATTATTAAGTTCTTCATTTTCTTCATTGTTATTTGTAAGTTTAAGATGTATAAGTAGCTGGCTGAATGACCCCAGACTGTTTTACACACACACTTTAGGGGCAGGTGCTGTTTGCTGTTTAAATCTTTCTTTTACCCTTTTTACCCTCTGTTTTCCTTTTTACACATCCCCTCTGTTGCTCTCACTGCTGTAATCCATCCCACGTCTCATCATCCCTATCTCTCCATTGCACTTCTGCTCCCTCTGTGTTCCCTGTCTCTTCCTTGTGGGTTAGCATACCTGGCGACGCAGAGCTTTCAGAGGTCGCCATGCTTTGGAGCAAATGAGAGGTGCTGCAGCTAAATGTAGTGCACACACCTCTATCACACAGGTATCACACACACACCTTTACTTGGCTAAATGAGGCTTGCGCATTTCTTTAGTTTTAAAATAAATCTAATTACAATTACTACAAACTAACTAGTTAGTTAAAATTATAATTTTTTCGTGTTTACAACAAATAGATAATGATCCACAAATAAATTTAGTATATGTAAATGAGCATTGTGCGAAAGTTTCAAATCTGTTTGTACTCTCTGAAGTAACGCAAGTGTGGGAAGTGTGTCAGAAACTGAACAGTGCATTATAGTTATTATAAGTGGAATTACAGTTCGCTCTATTTTCTGTAATCACGTCACATCTGTACCACTCAAGTCTGGTACAGACATTGTGTAAGCCCAAACTATAACACTTAACCCTAAAAGACAACTTAAAACTACAAAAACGTATATAATTAATTTATACTTAATTTTTATAACTTAAAAAAATCTGGATGATCTTTCGTATGGGTATTTCTAAGGGAGTTTGTACCCAAAGTATTTAAGTATTCATTTTCCAACACTCACACAGGCATTTCATCATGGCGTTCAACTCATTTACAGACATTTTGAATACATCTCCAGAGGTTTTCTGTTCTCATGATTTCTGTTCTGCTGTCTTCTCCTTCAGATTTTATCTTGATGCCCCACAGCATAACCCCACAACATTACTGGTTTGATGTGGCATTTTTAGCACAGATTGTCATAATCTGTGAATGGCACAGCTATATGAGATCTTGTGTGTTTTTTTTTTTTATGGCAGCCAGCAATAGTGCGACACCACTGGGTCCATCGGAGAAGACAAGAGGGCAAATGCAAACAGTGTGGAAAGGTGGGTCTAATAGATCACAAGTGTTCAGACATAATCTGTTTGAGACATTACATATATTACATGTACATTTCAAAAGTCTAATGAATGAAGACTAAAGTTTATGACAGAATCTGGTCTCCACCTACAGGGGTTTCAGCAGAAATTTGCCTTTCACAGTAAAGAGATTGTAGCCATTAGCTGCTCCTGGTGCAAACAAGCAGTAAGTCTCTCAGGCTATATGTAATAGTGTGTTGTCGTACTGTAGAGTATGTAAATGTGTGTAACTTTCCTCTCTTTCTATGTCTGGCTGCAGTATCATAATAAGGTGACATGCTTTATGCTGCAGCAAATAGAAGAACCGTGTTCATTAGGAGCACATGCCGCCGTTATAGTACCTCCTACCTGGATCATACGGGTTCGCCGACCTCAGGTATTACACATTACTTCTCTATTAGGATTGTTGGGCAGTTGTATTGGAAACATCCACAAGTCGAATTAGATAATGAATTGAATTTGGTGGCTGTGTAAATTATTAAGCAGTGCTATCAGCATCTCTATGGCTAAATTAAATGTAAAACGTGAGATGTAAACACCTTCGGTACAAACCCCAAGGCATTCTGGCTGCAATTTCTGCACATTTTCAAATCGTGGTGTGGTATTACTTTTTCAAACGTTTTTTAAGAAATGTTCTGCTCTGTTTTACTATGTTCTGAAATGTTTTTGTCTTCTTGAATTGTTTAAAAACTCCAACATACAAAATGTATGAGACAGCATTCTTTGTTCAGCACTCAATTAGAATAAGTAAAAAGTTTAAAGAAAAAAAATGGCAGTTGTGTTCTGTGTTTTCCATGAATTTTAAACGCTCAGAAACTGTATAGAACCAGAGAGCATTTTTATGCTGAAATGTAAACCTTTTCATCCACAGGTACTGTAGTTTTCCATTGTGTTTCTAATGATTGTGATTTCATTGTGGAGTGCTTTTGTAATGGTATTGTGCTACTTTTTAATGGTAGTCCTCACTAAAGTCAAGCAAAAAGAAGAAACGAACATCTTTCAAACGCAAATCCAGCAAGAAAGGAGCAGAGGTATGAGTACAACCAAGTAATTGTTTAGTTTGCCCAGAGGATGATTCAATTAAATAAGCAACTTATTGGGGGGATTTTACATCTTCACCCCAGTCACTTTCTTTTTCTTCTTTTTCAGGAGGCTCGATGGAAGCCCTTCATTGTGAGACCTATTCCCTCTCAACTCTTGAAGCCACTGCTGGTGTTTGTAAACCCAAAGAGTGGAGGAAACCAGGTATTATTATAACATGCTATAGCGAAAATAAGAAGTAATTATTTAGTATTAATTATATTAATAATAATTAAATAAAACACAAAAATAATAATCATCTATATCAACTTTTCCCCCTCTGTTTTCTCTCGTTTTCTCTCAGGGAGCTAAAATCATCCAGTCCTTTCTGTGGTGTCTGAACCCTCGGCAGGTTTTTGATCTCAGTCAGGGGGGTCCTCAGGAAGGGTCAGTACCTGCATGTGGAATACTTCACAATGGGGGTTCCCTGTTTTTGTCATCCGAACCCCTTTAACAGCTTTTATTAGCTTTTCATCAACAAAAGCAGTTCGTTCCATCACGGTTCGTAGGGTAGCCCTGCTTCAGAAGAACAATACTTATCTGTCCCATTGTTATGATGTGTTTCAATAAGATGATTGATATTTTTACGTATATTCATTCTTTTTATATGTTTTAGCTTGGAGATGTATCGCAAAGTTCACAACTTGAGAATTTTGGCCTGTGGTGGGGATGGCACGGTGAGTGAGTGTGTGTGTGTGAACATGTCTATATGTGACAAAATAATCTGCTAAGAAATAGTCTGTGATCACCTTTTGTAGCTGTTTTTAGTAGCTGAATTATGAACCCCTCCAGCAAGGAGGCGGCACTGCAGTCTTATCTCCCAGCCTGTGAGCAGCGTGAGAGATGATTCTCTTGAGTCATAATACTATTCACTATTCAGATGAGTCATGTGTTTGAGGAGTTTTCTGACATATAGTGCTGATGTGTGTGTCCTGGTTTACCCCATGCTGTCACATCTCCGTAATCCGTTTGTGTGAGTAATTAAGAGTGTTAAAGTGGAATCTGAACGCGGTCATATTTCATACCCTGACTCTGATCCATGAGAGAGAAGTTTGGGAATAATGCCTTAAGCCCAACTGAAATAAGGAGTTTTAATCCAGCCTTCCCATCAGTCGTCTTACACCCTGCTGAACAGCCGAGTTTCTGTTTTCTGAGTTAAACACTCCATATATTCATATTCTCCTGTGTTTTTCTGTGAGGTTCTCTAGGATTGATGTGATTTTACAAAACAAGATATCTAACTCTAACTTGTTTGTTATTTAGGTATTATATGATTTTAGCCGTATGGGTATCTGATAGGGACATTTAGATTTTTATGGATTTTGTTTTTTAAACATTTTGAGCATTTCTCTTTATCTCTCTCTCACACGAATACACACACACACACTCACGTTAACTGATTCTTTGTCTCAGGTGGGCTGGATTTTGTCCGCTCTTGATCAGCTGCAGCTAAACCCTTCTCCTGCTGTGGCAGTACTTCCTTTGGGCACGGGAAATGACCTCGCTAGGACGCTAAACTGGGGTGGGGTGAGTGGAACTTCGGTTTGAACTCTGCACAGTCAGACACGTTCATTCCAAACATCAGTCTAAATTTCATTGTAATTCATGTAGCATAGTCTGCTCATCCATTTATAGAATGGTTTGATGAATGGGCATATTTTGTACAACCCGTATGCATGTAGGGTTACACAGATGAACCTCTGAGTAAAATCCTATCTCACGTTGAGGATGGGAATATTGTACAGCTGGATCGATGGAATCTTATTGTGAAGCCCAACCCAGAGGCGGGGCCAGAGGAAAGAGATGAGCAGGTGACAGACAAGGTACAGTAAGAGCTCCACCTGCAGTGCTGTTTCTGTTTGTATCTGTGTGTAAGCAGCTGAAGAGTGATTGATGTTTCTCTTCTCCACAGCTCCCTTTGGACGTCTTCAATAATTACTTCAGCCTTGGGTTTGATGCTCATGTGACTTTAGAGTTCCATGAATCCCGAGGTTGGTGTAAAGCCACTATTCTGTCATATAAATGTGACTATTTAAAAGCAAGACAGTGGCTGTGTAAAAGTTAAGGCTTGAGTTTCTTCTGCAAGGTCAGATTTATTGGTGCTAATTGAGATTAATTATGGTTTGTCCTCTTACTCTTCAGAGGCCAACCCTGAGAAATTTAACAGCCGATTCAGAAACAAAATGTTCTATGCAGGGGTAAGTGAAGCACATAAACTCAAACAGCAGAGTCCTCACAAAGTGCTCACTTCATCCTGTCAATTTGATCTAACTGTGAATGATTCATCCATGCATTTTGTAAATTTTTTTTTAAGTTTTGACATTGTAATTCTTAATCAGAATATCGTAACTGGATCTTCCAGTATGCTGGGCTTCTCTAATAATTTAGTCCACCTTATCTCCACCTCTTTCTTACAGTCAACTTATAGCTAACATTCAGATTTGCCAATCAATAAACAATGCATTGAAACAAGTCCCTGCCCAACATTTTTTCTTTCTTTTCAATAACTTGAATGTACATCACAATACAGAGAGTATCTGAGAATCTGTCGCTGCTTCTGGTACATCACAACTTTATTGATCCCAAACCCCTTCGTTAACCACATCATTAAAAATGTGACACTGAGTTGGTGGTGACTGAAATGCAAATGATGTTTCCTTTTTCTACAGACAGCGTTTTCTGATTTCTTGATGGGCAGCTCCAAAGACCTGGCTAAACACATTAGAGTGGTGGTAAGTATGGAGATAAACTAAACCAAGAACCCTTTGTGCAGAACAAGAGGGGAAATATGTGTGCATGCCTGTGTGCGTTTTGAAATGCAAATGAATATGCTGTGTTTTTTTAGGTTTGAGTCTAAGTCTTTTTGCATGCTTGTTTGTTTGCATTTCTTCCTCTTGGGGTTTAGCACTGAGAGATAGTGTGCCTAAATTTGAGTTGCAACCTTTTTTCTGCTGACTGTTGGTTTGTTTTGCTGATGTATTCAGTTTATACCACTTTCTTCTCTTTCTCATTCTCTGTAGTGTGACGGCACCGATTTGACCTCTAAAGTGCAGGATTTGAAGCTGCAATGCCTGGTCTTCCTCAATATCCCCAGGTAACACACTAAATCATTTTCTGTGATTTGTCTGTAAGTCTGTAAGATGTTTTTGAAAGTAGTAAACTGTAATACTGTGATTTTTTTTTTTACAATTTAAAATAACTGTTTTGTATTTGAATGTATTTAAAAATGTATTCATGTGATGGCAAAGCTGAATTTTCAGTTCTACATAAATCTGTGTGAAGATCTGCATGTTTGGATGTTCATATTAATCACAGGTACTGTGCGGGCACTATGCCATGGGGCAATCCAAGTGAGCATCATGACTTTGAGCCTCAGCGTCATGATGATGGCTGCATTGAGGTCATTGGATTCACGATGACATCACTGGTATGTTTCAACTACCTGAATTAGTTTGAAGTGAGTTTTTATAGTACGACTGGTGAATTTACAGTCCCTGTATTGTTTATGACTGTAGGCTACGCTGCAGGTCGGAGGTCACGGTGAGAGGTTAAATCAGTGTCGTGAAGTCACCCTCACCACCTTTAAGTCAATCCCCATGCAGGTGGATGGCGAGCCTTGCAAACTAGCTCCATCTGTTGTTCACATCTCCCTGAGAAACCAGGCCAACATGGTGCAGAAGACCAAGAGACGCACATCAATACCACTGCTCAATGAGTGAGTGCAACATATGGATGCTGTGTGTATATTATGGCCATCTCGATTCATATATATATATATATATTTACTACAAGGGTACCGTGGCAAAAAGATGAATGATATCATTGCAATATAGAAAATTTTAAAAAATCATGTCAAGTCAAATTCATCTTTAACTTAGTCTCTTTTGTGTTTTCTCTTTTTGGCCAATTAATCCCACTCAAAATAACAGTGTTAAAAGGCAGACAGAGATTTAAAAACTATAATTGAACAAAAATAACTTATTTAGGGTGTTTAAAGGGGTCATATGATGCTATTTTAAAGATCATTATTTTGTGTATTTGGTGTAACAGAATATGTTGACATGCTTTAATGTTCAAAAAACACATTATTTTTCAAATACTGTACATTATTGTAGGTCCTCTATGCCCCGCCTCTCTCAAACACATAGTTTTCAACAAAGCCCCCTCCTTTGACAACTTTTCTCGACTGCGGTATCTTGCTTTCGTCTGTCATCTCCGACGATGTGACATTTTGTGTGGCAGTAGTAATATGTTATTGCCGCTGGTTTCAAAAGTAGCTGGTGATGGATTATTTACAATATTATCGTGTGAAGTATTAACATGATATTAAATATCACGGTTATCACCAGTACCGGTATATAGCAAAAAGCCGGGTATGTATGTGATATGAAGGAAAAGGTCTGCAATTTCTGAATGAGATTTAAAGAGCATGACTGCTCTTTAAAAGGGCGCAGCACCAAAATGCATGTAGACACACACAAACATTTATTTGGTATGAGCTGATGTTTAAAAAAAATAGTCAGAGTGAGCAGAAAGTTAAACTGCTGGATTGATGTCTCTCTCTATTGAGCTGTTACTGAAAGTGTGAAAATTTAGTGTGATTTATTCACTGTCGCAGTCTCATTTCTTTTCCTTGGCACTTGAAGTGAATATATTACCCTCATAAATGGCTGCTAAGGACAGACAAGCTTGCTTAGTCCTGCTTAAATTAGATAATCGCTCTCTCTCTCTCTGAGGTTTTGTTAATTTCACACTTGGCCGATTCGAGGTGAACGAATTGTATCGACGGCAGATAGGCCCGTAATGAAACCTCGTTTAAAAAGCTAAATATCGGAAGTGGAGACAGATTTAATTAGTGTGGTGACACTGTACCTAGCCAAGACAGCATACTCACTGTTACACACAGCTGTTATCAAAAGCTTCATTTTGTACTGTACATCCTTTGTGTTTGCATGTTTTTTTTTAATTCTATGAATTTTTTTTTTCATCCAGCAGTCAGCAGCCATTTCCAGAAAGATTACGGATCAGAGTGAGCCGTATCAGCATGCATGATTATGAAGCTCTGCACTACGATAAGGAGAAACTCAAAGAAGCTTGTAAGTATAAAACACACACATTACAGTCCAGAAAATACACTTGCGACCCCTGTGATTAAAGGGTTAGTTCAAAGCCATAACCGTGTCCTGAACACTGGAGTGGGGAAGGGCTGTTATGTTCTTTCTAATTAAAGGAAATAAATGATTAAAAGGGATTTAAGGAAATAAAGAAAAAGTAATAAGAACTTACAAGAAATTCTAATGGCCTGTTCACACCAAGAACCATAACTGTAAAGATAGCTATTACGATAAAGATATTAGCGTTCACACCATTGAACGATACTGTTCTGTTTATTATAAGCACAAAGTGCAGTTATGTCTTCTGCCGCTTTAAATGCGGAAGCTCTTTAAAATCAGGTGGATTCTGATTGGCTGTCAATGTTTTTATTGTTTATCTGCTGGACAGAAAACATTCTGTAAGACATTCCATTGATATCATTCCTCTTTGTTGTTATTGTTATAGTTATGGTGTGGACGTCCCTATTTTCACAGAATTATGTTAAAATGAAATTACAAATGGTAAAACTTTTTTTTCATCCCAACAACAAACAGAGCTGCATGTGCTGGAATGCAGCAGGGCAGCATCAAGAATATCAAATATTGGCCATTTCTAATTATTAGGGGGAAGTAGGGAAACTTGTCCTCCTCAATCCACTTGTTAAATCTGACGTCACACATGCTGGTTTGCAGGTTTCCAAGTGCTCTATCACATCCCAAAAGCAAACAGCATATGGTGCTAGTATACACTCACTCTGTGCTGTAATACTACCGAAATATCATGATCCTAACCTTTATCTCCATACAGAAATCTCTGTTGACCAGACAGAAATTAATCTTTTCTGAATCGTTAAAATATTGGTGTCTGGGACGCTGTGAGCTCAGAGAGTGTAGTGTACACAATACGTTTTTAAAAGCTTACCTTAAATCTGTGCTTTAAATAAGCAGTGCTCATAAACGTCTGTTGAGATAGTATTCTTCTCACTTGAAACGGACTGGAGACTTGGACTCAGAAACCCAGAAACCGTATTTGTTATGTCAGGACTTAACAAGCAGATGTCTATAGTGGTTATGGCCGTATGTTAGCTCACTCAAAAGTGGACAGAAATCTTTTGAGATTTTATTAAAAATATTTCATTTGTGTTTTTGTAAGAATACATGATTCAAGCTGCAGTTGTATTTCTCAGCACTAGGTGTCGTCCCATCTCTACAGTGAGTGATTATGCTGTGTATGGATGGAATTAAGTGGATCTTTAAGAATACCTTCAGATGCAGCTTTATGCTCCTATTGTGTTTTGACAGAGCAATTTGTGCCGATCCATCAGAGATTTTAACATTACACATTTCTGGTTTTGGCGATACATCAGCAACTGTTCCCAAAAATCAATTAGCGTCACAAATAAATTATGAAAATTTTGTTTTATCCTGCTAGTGTGCAAGAATGTCTTTGTGTGTGTGTGTGTGTGTGTGTGTGTGTGTGAGCAAGCAACAGTAAGTGTATACACAGTACATGTGCAGTTATAATCAATCTCGGTAACACTTTCTATGAAGCCTATATTTATAATGCATTATAAGGGTATTCTTACGGCATTATAATGACCGCAAAAAAACTTATAATATGTTATATCATCTTATGAATATTCATAAGAACAGTTTTCATGTATTATAATTTTTACTTATTTGTGGTTATAGCTTTTAAGAGTATGATGATTTATAACACACAGTGAACATGTTGCATCCACTTAAGTTACAATGGATTATATTTCTCATAGTTATAAGGTATTATAAGTCTCCTATCTTGCCATCTTTCTTATGCTACTTTACCTAAAGCAATCAAAGACCACTTATAGTAAGTATAGTAATGATAATAATAATAATAATATTTTTCTCAAACAGCCGTAAGATCAGATATCAGATCAGATGAATGTGTAATATGAAAAAATGTATTTTTATTGTAATATCAGTTTGATTATTTTGATTGTACCCTTTAGACAGCTGTTGATAAGTAACTCTGCAACTACATGTCAACTAGCAGTCATTGGAGTATTAGTAGTATGTCTGCTAAATATATGCTAACACTTTATTTTGATGGTTGGTTCCCCAACAGACAAACTGACTGTAAGTAACTTTGCAAGTACGTCAACATTCTACCTACAGTAACCTTAACCTAAGCCTACTAATACTCTAATGAGAGTTAGTTGACATGTAGATGCAAAGTTGCTTATAGTCACACCTTACCACTCACAAGATGTAGCAAGATACTGTGCAGAACTTAAATAAACAATGTCAAGATATATAGCCCATTATAAATGTAAAAGTAGATTTAATATGGTGTTCCTTGTGTGTTATAAATAATCATAATCTTAAAAGTTATAACCACAAATGTGTAAGCATTATAATGTATTATAATTGTTATGATTATTTATAAGATGATATAACATATTATAAGGTTTTTTATAATGCATTATGCATTCATTATAATATCTTAAGAATACCCTTATAATGTATTACAAATGTGGGCTTCATAGAAAGTGTTACCTCAGTCTCTTTGTCTAAGTATACATGACACAATGCGTAATCAGATAATTGAAGTATTAAATACTCATTGCACATCACCTCTGTTTGATTAACTTGTATACATGCTGCACGAAGCTGAGCTACAATCACATGATCTAGGCCAGTTAGTCAGACTGCCATGAGGTTCATTTAACATCATAAAAAGACAAATTACTGCTTTAATTTAACTGAAATTAAACTTTTAAAGTGCATGTCAACTGCGAGATAGCGATTAGCTCTTTGCTGTTCATACAGCTGTTCTGTACTCTCTCTTTTGTGATACAAAAATATACCACACATCCCTGTGTCTCATCTGCTCACTGCTGTCAGTCCCTCTTCACTCTTCAGAAGAGGCTTGACAATACCTCCAACTGAAAAGAAAGAGAGAGAGCGCAGATCAAACCTGAATTGAATTTGGGAACGACTGTTCAGATGTTGCTAAGCAACCCAACCTTCCTCAATGGAAGAGACCTCTCCCATTTCTCGCTACTCTCTCTCTTTGTCTCTGCTCGTTTCTTCCTGCTTCCCCTGTCGCTTTCTCTCTGTCTCACTCTCTCACTTCCCACTTTGTCAGAGAAACTTGCCGTCCTCTTGAGAATGCTCATTTAATTTAGAAATATTACCCTGCCTCTCTGAAGTGTGTGAGACTCGGCTCAGGGTAGGGCATGACTGCTGCTCCTCCAGCTTTCAAATGTACACTACTGTATCTTCATAACGCTCAGGGTGGTTGAGTGTATCACGCTACAGTTAGGATCTCAGTGTTGGATCTATGCTTTTTACCCTTTTACTCTAAAGTGACTTGGACTGGAGAATATCCATATGCATGAGAGGACACATGTACCCTCAGTAACCACTGCGGAAACATCATATTTCATCTTATTCTCTCACTGACAGCACATGTAAGAGCAGGCCTACAGCCATGTGTCTCCAAAATGCCTGCAGTGGTTTAGACTCTAGTGCAGATAAAATTGCCACATCCTCCCCATCACGTCCTATTACTGTCTGACCTTGTTTCATGAGGAATCTGTGGATTAGTTTGATTGGGTCTGAGCCAGTGCGTGTTGCATACAACTGCCATAAATCATAATCATCAACTCTTCTGCTTGCAGATGTATTCACAAAGATAAAGATGTATTAGCTTATACCTTACATAATTGAAAATAGCATTTCTTTCTTTTTCTTTCTTTCTTTCTTTTGCTCTCTTCTTTTATTTTTACTCTTTCTCCCACTGCTGATCAGTATCTCCCGAGAGGAAAGAATGTGGGCCAACACACAGCAGACTGTTACTGTGAGAGCGATAGAAAGATTGTTTCTTCTCCTCATCCCTCGTTCTAACTTCTCTTTTCGTCTTTCCTTTTCGCAGCAATTCCACTGGGTCTCATCGTTGTCCCGGGAGACAGTGATTTGGAAACCTGCCGAGCTCACATCGAGAGACTACAGGAGGTAAAAAATGAGAGGGTGGGGTTAACAGATGGAGTGGGGTAAAAGTGAGAAATGAAGAGGATAGGAAAAGAGAGGAGGAGAGAGGTGTTAGAGTTTGATTAATGATGGGAACAGTCAGTCAGAGTCAGAATATAATGAGGGAGAAGTTATACTGCACTACAGTACAGAGCAGTGGTGCTCAACTGAATTTGCTTTAGGACCCAGATTGTACATCTAGTGGCAACGCAACACAGTATCACAATGGTTAATTATACAGTAGCAAAGATCTGCAACTCCCTTATGAACAGCCGTTAATGAAATAGGTATTATGAAATCAATGAACAAATTCATTTCAAAGCATTTATTCACCGTCATATTGTTCCAAACCTGTTATGACTTTCTTCTGTGGAACATAAAAGAAGATGTTTTGAAAAAAGTTAGTAACCAAGCAGTTTTGGTGAACATTGACTGCCATTTTATGGACAAAAAAAAAAAAGCATTTCTGAAAATATCTTCTCATATATTCCATAGAGGAAAGAAAGTCATACTTGATAAATGATGATAGAATCTTCAATTTGGGTTAATTATCCCTTTAAATTATACATATTGTTTATTCATCTATGTTCTAGGTTAATGTTAACTAATTATCATGAATCTAGCTGTATAAATGATGTTACTTTTTATATTGTTCATGGTTTGTTCATGATACCTACAGCATTAACCAGTGTTAACAAACTGAACCTTATTGTTAAGCGTTGCCCAAAAATCAAACATTAAAATATGTGGTTAATGCAGCAACATGTATAATTATAAAAATGACAACTGAAATAAGAAAACTGTCTTTTGAATTCTGACGATGCCATGCTTTCTAGACCAGGAGTTTTCAACCTTTTAGGACATTGACATTTAGCATGTCAATCTTGATCAGCAATCAGCAGAAAGCAGATGCAAAGCGCAGTTATAGGTACAGAATCATTTTGGTGAATGAACTGAAAATGAACAAATTTCTTGAAAGAGTCAAAATTTCCATTACTACAATAAGTGTGACTGACACTCGAGCCAACTCTGCTCTAACTGTCGACTAGCAGTGGGAGTCAGATTGCCCCCTAGTGGATGGCTAAAGATTTGCTAACTCATATTCATAAATCCTCAAGGGAATGTCTCTGAATTAACTGATGCTCGTGCCCCCCTTGACAGGTGAAAACCCCTGTTCTAGACAACAATTCACAGACAAAACAAATTGGGATTTGTGCAAACAATGTTTGTCCTTTTGCAAATTAACCCATATTCAGCCTTGTGTAATAATGTATTTTGAATCCATGCCAGCATCCGCCTCATGTAGCTTGTTTCTGTGAAGTGACAAATGAAATACTGTAGTTTAATCAGACACACAGTCTTTGACGTCAGTAACTAAAAATAATGCAGTGTTTTCTCCTCCTTTTTTAGAAGTTATTCTAATAATTTACTGTTGGGACTATGCTCATTTTTTGGCTAGCTGAACATTATTATATGCATTTACCATTGTTTTTTCACTACTGTTGTGAGCCACCAGTTGTTGAGAGCCCCTGGTATAGATTATCTTATTCATTCATGGCATCTCATTCTGGCCTTGTTTAAGTTCATACATTCCTATTAAGTTAGAGTGGTTATACGTAACAAAGGTCGTAGTCACGGGAAGAAGGAGGCAGGAACCGGCACTCATTTAAACATAACTTTAGTTTAATAATAAAATAAACCCAAAACTGAAAATAGCTCGACAGCCCCTCACGGATGACTGCTGCGCACAAACAGAAACAAAACAACATAAAATCCAGGCCTGGTCCTCTCTCGTCCTCCACTGTCGTCGCTCCTCCATTTATCTTTCCGGAGCTCCTCCGTGGGACTCGAGACCGGTGAGTGGCGCAGGTGTCCCTCATTATCTTTCACTCCCTCGGTGGGTGGCTGGCCCAACACTCCTCCGCCGCCCGGTGGATGGCAGCCGTCCCTCCACAACCCAGGCGGCCGGCAGCATGTTAGTCCGCCCCCCCGGTCACTCCAGCCCACCGCCTCGAGCGTCCATGGCGGCAGACTGCTCCGCCATGCTCGATGGCACCACGGATTCACCACAGCGGCGAGGGGTCTCTGGCAGCGTGTGCCTCCTTCCAGGACCCCTTTAATAATAAAATAAACACAAAACTGAAAATAGCGCGACAGCCCCTCACGGACGACTGCCGCTCACAAACAGAACCAAAACAACATAAATAGTCCAGGCCTGGTCCTCTCGTCCTCTCGTCCTCCACTGTTGTCGCTCCTCCTTTTATCCTTCCGGAGCTCCTCTGTGGGACTTGAGACTGGTGAGTGGCGCAGGTGTCCCTCATTATCTTTCACTCCACCGGCCCCGCCCCACTCGTCACATTATACAAATATAACTTCACAATTAGCTGAAAAACAGACCAGTAAGAGCCTTCGTTTAGAGGTATATGTACAGTAAATGATGGTTTAATGGTTCACACACACACACACACACACACACACACACTCTCTCTCACACACTGTGCAGCAGGTCAGAACGAAACACCCTTGGCAGTAAGGTTGTGTGAGTGTCTGAGGCAGAATTAAGTGTTTTTCAAAAAGAAAAGTAGTCTCAAAGTTAAATGCTTACATTCATTCACATGCTGTAGGGTCTTCTCCAAGAAACACTGTTGTCCATCTGCTCCTATCTGTATGTATCTGAACTGACGGGCTGATCTAATGGGCTTTGTGTGTATGTATCTAATGTAATGGGGTCTCCTGCAGGACTTTGTGTCGTGTCACCCATCTCTGCAGCGGCTGGTGCTCCAGGTGGGTGAGACACCTGCGAGAGGTGAGACAGGCACACCTGGAGCACTTTCAGGAACAAGACTGGAAATACAGCCTGGACAATGAATCGAGAAAACCAAACAGAGTGCTGTTTGTACAATCAGATTTTGATAGGCATGCCTCCACAAACCCAACCTAGATAAACTTCAGCAGCACATTTGTGTACTATAAAATTATGCTCGGAGGCAGACATGTTTACCGTGAGAGTGCATAAACCACTAGAGAGATAAAATAAGCAAGAGAGTTTGTTTTCACATACTGTAGAGCTTAACATGATCCCTAAAGCAAAGTATTCTGAAATTCATCCTAAATCTCTCCCACATCTTTCTCTGTGAGATTAGAGCACTCTAGCGCCTCCTAGACACTAGTCTGTTTGCAGACGTGAAGAGAACCCTCGTTAGTACAGCATTCCCTCTTGACAGATGTTATGGGTGAAACTTCAAATAAGCACACATTACAGTAAGCACTTACTAAGTTAAATCCACTCGATCAGATCTTCGTTCCCTGAAGATTTCCCCTGGGTCCTAAGTGCTCCTGTGTGCTTTGTTTGGATGGATGCCTTGGATCACGTTTAGCCTCTGTAGAAAATGGCAGCTTTCTTTATAGTGATGGTGCATGCAGGTGTTGTGTTTATTGTGTGCTGTGAGTGTAGTCTTTGTAATGTGTATTTGACTCTGTTGCATGACTTGTGTAGATCTTCAATTGGCAGTTTGGTGCTTTAGGGAAAGAATTGATGTGACAGAAAATAATGACAGGTCTGTGTGTGTGATGAAAATAGTAAACTTATGCACTGTTCATATACTGATCATTTGCTTCTGCAAAAACTGACACTAATCGGAATTCTATCAACCTTTCTTCTCTTCCCATCTCCTACCCTATATTTTCTTCTCCTTTCTTTCACAGGAAGGTGACGGGACCAAATCAAAGGCTTTGTCGTCTCAGAGGCTGTCGCCAAAATGGTGCTTTCTCGACTGTGAGTATTCTTTTCACAGTAGTTTGGATGTTAGAATTCAGAGTTAGATCTGGGGTACTGAACAGCAAGTGTGCCATGGTGGCCCTCAAGGATGTGGGCTGGAGTTGTGTTTATCAGTGCACAAAGCTGTAGGTGTTTGCAGTGAATAAAATGGCAAAGAGTAAAGGTCAGAGATTCAAAACTGTGAGTCAGACCCACAAAATATTCTGTTATCAGTGCCAGAATCAAAGCTAGGAAAAGAGAAAGAGTCATGAATCTCCATACTAAAGAACAGAATCTACTCTGGCATTTCAGTGCTAATAAGGAGTGCCAAGATGATTACTGTCAGCAGGAGAGAATTACAGCCACAGGGAACGATTATATTTTTTAAATATATTCAATACATTTTTAAAATAAATTCAAATAGAAAACAGTTATATGTTATAATATTATAATATTTCACAATATTACTTTTTTACTGTATTTTTGATCAAATTAATGCAACCTTGGTGACTTCTTTCAGAAACAAAAAGTCATACTGACCTCAAACTTTTTAACGGTAGTGTATTTATTTAAACAGTGCTTTATTGTTTATTTGTACACTCTATCCTACAAGCCCATTATTGACACTATGCATACCTTTATGTGAACAGCTTTCCAATTTTTGCAGTAATCTCCTTTTTGATCAGTGTGAATCTGTGAAGATGTGGATTAATGTCAGCTCAAAGAAAAGTGGAGAATCGGACTACATAAGTCTTGAAAAGGATGCAGCGTGTTCACAACCTAGTAATAGCAATGCATACTTAAATAATCTCATATAATGGCAACTAATTTAAAAAGACTGATAAGGGGGAAATGTCTTCAAGGAGTCAAGGCTTTTAGATGACATTCTTCAAATGTAAACATTCCCGAATGCACTGAACTTTCAAGGAGCAAAGACATAATTATACACATTATGTATTCTATGAGAAGTGATAAATAAAAATAAATAGCTTTTTGCATACAGGTGTCACTTTTGTTGAGAGGTACATCGAAGCACTGACGCAAGTTGTGTTGAAAGGGCCATCAGGCTTTCCTTTGACAGCATCTCAAGATGTGGGGAGTCAGTCAGCATTATACACAAATCCTCTGTGACAGCTGAGTCACATTCACATAGATCCTAAACTGCTACACATCAAACCAGTGAAATAGTACATCACATTCCCCTGTTCAATAATGGCATCTTTCCACCCTTTTTTCATCCTTTCATTCTTGTCCCTCCTTCCTCACTTCCCACCGGCCCAGAGGAAAATTCATCTCCTCATTTTAAGACTAAAAAGCTTCTGAGGGCTTTATTACCAGAGCAGAGAACTGCAGGATGAGTCAGAAGTTTTCAGAGTGATTGTGGCAGCACTTCTGATCTCAGCTCAGTCTTATGAAGTTGCTGTCAAGTAATTACCAGTGCAAGCAGGGGCAAAGTCTGATCCGAGGCCAGTGTTACACAGTTTTCCTGGATCATCTCAGATAATTCCTGCCCCAGAGCAGATGTCACCAGAGTGTGAGGAATCATGTGCATTCATTACTTTTGCTGCAAATGTGTTATTTACAGGTATGAGGACAAGCTCGTGGGAGTTTATGTGTGCATTTTCAGCACGTGCATTCTCTTTGGTAGTAGTTTGCTTCGATGAGATGTGAGATCCACACGGACTTTTCCAGGTTTTAAGTGCTATAATCAGGTCCCCGGTGCATCTACCAACCAAGGAAACATGAAAAAGATTAACCCAGTAACTTTGTTTTGGTAAGCCTTTTTCTGCAAGCGTCTGAGAAAATGAGCGCGTCTGATATCGCTCCCTTTTAAACTCATATGATTTAAAACGCATGATTTCAGCACGATAAAATTGATAATCAGAACCAAAACAGATGTTTTTAGCAGGTCCGAGCTGTAATGGCCCAGCTCTATTCTGGAAAATGGGGCGGGGAGCAGCAGCTCATTTGCATTTAAAGACACAGGCCCGAAAAACAGCGTGTTTCTGCTTCCACTCAAAATAGGCATTTTCAAAATGATATAATAAATGATCTGTGGAGTATTTTGAGCTGAAACTTCACAGACACATTCTGGGGACACCAGAGACTTATATTACATATTGTAAAAAGGGGCATAATATGTCTCCTTTAAAAACAAACTTGTCTGGGTCGTTTTGACCCAGCTGGGTTAGGATAAATATTTGACCCAACAACCCTAACCCTAGCTATTGCTTAAAAATTACTATACTGCTGAAAATAAATTACTATACTCCCAAAATGAGTTGGGAGAGAATGACTACAGTAACATCACAGGCTATAGTAATTATCAATAGGTAAAATATTATTGCAAGAATACAGAAATAGACAAAAATGTAGGCAAAATTGAAAACAATGTGTACAAATTGAGAAAAAGTGCAGAAAAGAATGGCAACTCAACAGTTACACATCTTATGCAGTTAAATGATATTCCTTTTTAAATGTTAATTTAACATTGTTGAATAAATGTTGATTATTATGCTTGGATTAGTTTTCTTCTATTTTCCACACGTTTTACTGCAAGCATGGATAGATGTGGCATTGGCACTCAGAGAAATGTTGGAACTTACATGACATGCATGATCTCTTTCATATCTGGAGCACTGTTGGGTTTCTGATTATGAGCAATTATTAACCCAAATTTGGTCAAATCAAGCCGGCTTCCTTACCCAATAGTCTCAATCAAGTGTTTGAGTTGAAATTTATAGAAGTTTATAGAGTGTAGATGTTGAAACAGTACTGTTGTGTAATTGGAGACCTGAACATTAGAAGAAGAGATATAGTCTGTCATCTCTTCTGCTTGAACTTGCTCTTGAATGTCTGGTGCCTAATCACAAGCCTGATTTCTCGTTTTTTATGTTTTGTGTTTGCAGCTACAACAGCTGATCGATTCTACAGGATTGATCGAGCTCAAGTGAGTCCTCTGTACAATACCTCTTTAGAGTAATTCAAACTACAATTGAGCAATTTTAAGTATCCACAAACAAACCATTCACATTTGTCTGGTGTCTGTGTCATCCCTCAGGAGCATCTTAACTACGTGACTGAAATTTCTCAGGATGAGCTGTTCGTTTTGGACCCAGAGCTGGTTGTCACAGAGACGGTCAGCACATCGCCAGGCATGCCAGACCTGGTGGACTCCTCTAGTGATGCCCCTTCTGATCCACGTAAATTTGCCTTCCCATCATCCTCTTCTTCTCCACCAAACTCACCCGGACCCAGGTGAGATACACGGGCAAACATAAAGGGAACCGTTTAAATGTAACCAGCACCACACTGCCAGCTAATCTTTGCCTTTCTTGACAATATAACAATGTTTTGATGAATGAGTTATTTTATGCAAACTTTCATAAAGGAGACATTTTCATTATCAGTGGCAGCTAATAACTGGTAATAACTGATGGCTGTTAGCTGACAGCAGCTTCTGTTCTGTAATATCAGCCAACAGGGAGCAGAAGAGCATCGAGCCGCCTGGTGGCAGTGTGGTTCTCACAGCTCAGCTGCTTTGTACAAATGCTACATCAACAACACTAATTCTAATACACTGATAACCGTGTTTAACATCCACCTAGGGTGCCTTATAGTTGTTACTTTTAAGATGGATTTTATATAAACGTACACTTGTGTGTAGGCAGGTTCATACATGAATGTCTATGCATGTTTGCATGTGCAAATGAGAATGTGATTGTGATATTGTGTGTGTATAGCAGAATAATTGTGTGGTTCAGAGTGAATAAAACAGTGTTTCCTGCAGCACAGAGCTTGATCCGATCCTCTATTTATAGCTACCTGAAAAAGTCATACAGCATCACAGCCCCTGCTAATCTCCTGTGTGTGTGTGTGTGTGTGTGTGTGTGTGTGTGTGTGTGTGTGTGGAGGGGTAATAGAGCTCAAGACAGAGAAAGAGAATACAGACAGTAAATTAGCTTTTTTTCTGTTTTTCTGTCTTTGTGAATGTTTCAGGTTTAATTATTAAATTATTGAATGAAATCAGTTGAAATTGTGTCAAAATATTTAGCTTAAGCTTCATCATCACACATCCTTTCTGTTATTCTAAATGTAAAAGGTCTGTCAGGAGTGTGTATTTGTTTATTTTCTATTATTATGTTATTTAACCTTAAATGAATGCTTTGCTGAAAAGAGCAGCATTAATTTCTGTTGTTGGTTCAGGCTGGTTAATGCCAGTTATTGCTGATTTTGTGCTGGTAAAGGTTGTCAGCCAGCATTCTGGTTAAGCTGATTGGCCATGGAAATCTTATTGGTTAAGCTAGTTAAGAAGCCTGGTGAGGACACCTGCATGTTAGCATCCCATGATGGGGTCCAGCATCCAAAACAGCACATACTCTACTGTTCAAAAGTGTGAGGTCATTAAGATTTTTATTTTTTTGAAAGAAAAAAAAAACTTTTAAATTCAATTGCTCAAAGTGACAGGAAAGACATTTACAATAAATGCCATTTTTAAACTTTCTATTCTTTAAAATTCAAAAATAAATAATTTTTTTTTTTTTTTTTTAATCGCAGTTTCCATGTAAATATGAAAAGGTTTTCAACATTGATAATAATCAGAAATGTTTCTTGAGCACTAAATCAGCATATTAGGTTAATTTCTGAAGGATCATGTGACACTGAAGACTGGAGTAGTGGCTGTGAAAATTCACTTTGGACATAATAGGAATAAATTACATATATTGAAACAACCGTTCATATATTTAGCCAGGGCTCCAGACTAAATATTTTTACTAGGAGCACTGTAGCCCCTGACTGAAAAGTTTTTTGGAGCACAAGTAGAAAATTTAGGGCCACACCTTAAATCAGCCTGCAATGCAATCATTCACATATTTTCGCCATTTTAAGTGTATTACTGATCAATGCTTTGATAATAAATAGACTTAACTCATAGAGATTACAATGTGCAGTATCCCTTTAGTTTCAGAGAGATATGACAAATATATATATGATATGATATGATAAAATTACTATTGTTTTGCGTTAGGTGCAGTTACTTATAATATTGCATGTTCATTTCTTGTTTATTTCATGTTTATACACATATGACAGTAAAGCACTAAGCTTGAGTTGGGAAGCTTACAAAATTTATTTTATTAACAACAGTAACATGTGCAAAATCAAATTTTTATGTAGAAAAGATATATATTGTACTCTTATTAAATGCATCATTATTCTTCTATAGTTTGTTTGCGTCGCAGTCCGAGCTGTTAAACGGTCCGCACTGCGCAGCTCAAACGAGTAGCAGGATTTTGTTACGCTTTTGTTTCGTTTGCCGTTTGATGTTTGTCATATGCGACAGAAATGGCAGCGCGAGTTGAACAACGCGGTGGTCGCGCCAGTGCGACTGTGCACAAAATTTACTCGCACCAGCAGTAAAAACGGTCGCAGTCTGGAGCCCTGTTAGCTCATGTTGGTCAGGAAGAGGCCAATAGGGAACTAATTGATCGGAATGATTGAATGGTTAGCTCTGTGATGTTTGTGTCATTATCATTGTCCTCCCAGCTGTGTGTAGCAGTGTAATGTGTCTGGTTGAAACACAGACAAGCCACTGCACTGGGCATAGCTCTCCTGATTATGTCACGATTGTATAACCCATCCGATAGGAGCTTTTGTTTATGGCTCCCAATGGAAAACATTGAGCGGTCCCTCAGAGCACTGCTGCTGTCATGTGTGCTGTGATTGTGAGATAACACTCAGCCTTTTGTCTTTAGGGGCTGTGGGTACTTGAGATGTACTGATATATCCTTTATCTTTCTGTATTTGAACTTCAGAATGTCTTTCTCTCACGTCGTACTTTCACTCTACAGTTTCACTGTAAATGTGTCATTTGTCAGCCTTAATGATTCAAATTCTGCCTTTTCTCTCTTGGGTTCACTCTAAGCCACTTGGGTTTTCCACATCAAAGCTGAAGTTTTCTTTAATTAGTCTTGTTTACTTCAATTATTGTGTGTTGTTTATTGAACTCTGTTGTGTTAGATACACCACAAGCATACAAAGCAACAAAATGTCAGCATTCTGTTTGGTTTCTGGTTGTGTAATGATTTTTTTTTTATGCGTAGCCTATAATATGCCTGGGTTCTTTTTCTTGTAAAAACAGCAGCATAAAAGATTTCAGATATAATTATATGGCCATTCGCTTTGCTTTTTGTTGCAATAGGCAGGGTATTTTCTTCCTTGTCGATACTTAAATATAGTTTCTGCAGTCCTAATGACAAGTCTTTCAGAGTTTCAGAGAACTTTGGCTCACCTTCTTGTAATTGACATCTCTCCTTTTTCCTCTGCTCATCCTCTTTTCCTTCCATTTTTGTCTTTCTTTAATTTGGTTATTTTGCATTGCATTTGTGCATTTCATCTTTTCATGTATGTATTTAATCGGTGGTACTTTTTGTTTTGGATGGGATTTTTTGGCAACTTTTCTGCTCCTGATTTGTTTTTAGTCGCAGAGACTTAATCAGTCACACAGGCGTACGGCTGCTGACGCGTTTGGCAAGCATTATTACATCGCTTAACTCCCTTGGGCATGAAATAACGATCTCTCGCCGAGGCAACATTGAACATGCTTTTGTTCAATTCAGAATCACACAGAATCGCTCATGAAAGGAATTTTAAATTAATAAAAAGATGTAATTAGCCTTTGTGGTGTTAAGTGCTGAGTTTGCCAGGGTGAGCTGTGGGTGAACAAAGTGACAGGAAGCATTGTCTTTTTGAGTCTCTAGAAATGTTGGCTTCTCTCTCTCTTTCGCTCTCTCTTGGCTTCGTAATGTTTTTCCACCGGTTATGCTTTTCCACCAAATGAGATCAGACTGCTACAGGGTGATACATGCACAAGTGGAGATCAAAGGATAGTGTCTCTATCTTTCTCTATCTCTCTGTCTCCACCTTCATCTCTTCCTTTCCCTTTCTCTCACACACTATTATTATATACTATAAACAGAAACAATATACATCTAAACATTTTTTTCCTACTGTATATGTTTTAGGGTATTCCTCATCTATTAGAGGTGTTTATTATTAACCAGACTGTATTTGTGGGTCTTTGCGTGTTACTTTTTTTACATCACAAAGACTTCCAACATTAAAGAACAAGTGCACACAACATTATGATTTGTTAGCAGCTGGACTGTGGTACATCACAGCATTTGTTTTTTTGTTGGCTGCAGATATAATGACTGGCCTGCTGTTTCAGTACCAGATATTCCTCTTGATAATGTCTCTGTGTGTGTGTCTCTCTCGTTGTTTCTTCAGGGTTGAAGAGCTCCAAAGGAAGCGTGTTTCCAGTGACAGTTCTGTGGCAGAAGCTCTTGCACACAGTGACTCGCTCAGATCAGCCAAACCAGCTCTCAGCAGGTAAGAGCTACACAGAGAACGTGATCCTCTAGAACACATCTCTGAAACTCCAGCCACGTGGATCAAGCCTGCTGCCATACAAAACATTTTTTTTTCTTTTTCAGGCTGAATGTTCTTGCATGTTCTTTCTGATCTATGTCTGTATGGCCCTAAGCAGAATATTGAGTTCTGCGCTGGTATGAGAGATGCTGATCTGTGAATGTTGAGTAGTTCTGTGAGAGAACCCTTACTAGCTCATCTTTGCTATAGCAAAAAAGAACTAACTCCTTTTGCATATCTATTTTTGTGATGTTTTATTGGTAATGTGTATAGTGTGTAGAGCTGGACAGTATGAAGTACACTTGATGGGCAACAACACAAGTAATGAGTGTATATCAGTTTTATAACTGTTTCGATTGTAGCTCGTCCAGTCAGAGTCAGTACCAAAAGCTTTTTACTGCATTCGTTTTAATGTTTTGAGTGTTTTGTTTTTAGCTCAAATGCTAGATTTTTAATTTATAGTAAATAATCATTATTATAATTTAATAATAATGAATAATCATATATTTTATTCTGCATTCTGAATAAAAAAGAGAAAATCTAATGAGATGAAGTTCCCTTTTAATTGTAAAATATTGCATTGATTCCCCTCTCTATGTGTAAAAGATGTGTAAATGTGTTTACTGTGCAGAAATGCATTTTGCATTTTCCTTGAACTCTGTGTGTGTGTGTGTGTGTACCTGTTTTTCTATTCTGGTGGGGACTTAAACCTGAATACACACAGACTCATGGGGACTCGTGTCACGGTGGGGACCTAAATTGAGGTCCCCACGGGTAAACAAGCTAATAAATCACACAGAATGAAGTTTTTTGAAAACCTAAAAATGCACAAAGTTTCCTGTGAGGGGTAGGTTTAGGGGTAGGGTTGGTGTAGGGCAATAGAAAATACGGTCTGTACAGTAGAAAAACCATTACGCCTATGGAGAGTCCCCACAAGGATAGCTGACCAGACATGTGTGTGTGTGCGTGTGTGTGTGTGTGTGTGTGTTAGAGAGAGTATGTCCAAAGGGTTTTCACGAAGGTTTTTAAGGATGCATTTAATAGTTTCCCATGAGTGTTTCATGAGGGCTGCATGAAAAGATTAAACTGTTTTTGCATACATGTCATGACGCTTACAGTACATTGAAGAAAATGCTGGAATATTTCATTTATTATATTTGCTTAGAAGTCTCTGTTCCTGCTTCTTTTTTATATTGTTTAGAAAATATATCTGGCAGGACATCAAGCCATTAGGCTCCTGCTTCTTGTGATGTGTATATCTGCATATGTGACCAGGAGAAGATATGGAATGTTTTCCTTAGATGCCCTTTAGGATCCCAGACCTCATAATGGCATACAGAGAATAGAACCGACCACTGGAAACAGGCCAAGAGATAAAAAATACAAAAAGCTGCTGGCCATGAACTGTTAGGTTTTACTGCACAGAAGGCATAAGGGATATCACTGCCTGACTGCTTTCTAGTCAGAAACCACAATCACAAATCTCCCTCTTGTGTGAAATCAGCTCTGTAAAGCACAGAGAGCTGTCCTGGACTCACACACTCCTTTGTGTTCCTAAATTATGGGCTCTTTGGGTCCTATTAAGTTTCTCCTAGGGTCAGTAATATCTCAGTAAAAGAAACTTCAATGTTTGCCTGTGGTACATTATATAACATTTGTGCTGGCCATGAATTGATATGCTCCAATGGGGTCCAGGCCACAACCCTGCCTGAGGGGAGGAATATCTGGCCAGACCAGAAATAATAGAACCACCCCTGTTTGTAATGGTGAAATGTATCTGCATTACATCACATGCTTAATGCATTAAAAGTCTTTAAAATGCCACACCAACTCAGTCCACAGTCCTTTTAATTTTATTGCCCTGTTGTTTTTGTTTTCTTTTGTGTGTGTGTGTTTGTTTTATTTTCCATGCCATATACTGTATAACATTCTGGTTAAGGTTTGTTCTACAATTTTCGATTTTTTTCTCTTTTTTTAACACTTTTTTTCATGTGACATCTATTTGCCATATTTGTACATTTCATACTTTTTTTTTTAATTAAAGGAAGATTGATACAGCTCATACTTTAAAATACTCTTTTAATGCAACAACAACAGTGAAATCACCACAATGTATTACTGAATTGATTTGGTATTTTTTCCTTTTACATTCTACTACATGCTAAATTTTTTATTTGCCCTTTCCTTTTGTATATGTCTTGCATATCCAATTTTAAAATCCACAGTGAATATGTATGAGCTGTGTGCAGCCAACAGAAAACAAGATGTTCAATGTCATGACAGTGACCGAGCAGCTCTAATACAGCATTTTATTTACACTGAACCAAAGCCTAAAACCGAAGTGTACCTAAAACTTTTACACAATTTTTTTACTGCCATACAAGTATCTGTATTTCCTTTGGGAAATGCAAATCTCATTTGTACTGTGTCACTGTTATGTCACACGATTATTGTTTATGGTCATGTCTTTATCATTTTTGTCTTATATTCCCATTCATTTATTTACTTATTTACTTTTTTTTTCATTCTTTTGTCATTTTGAAGGGTGGGGGGTGTTCATCGCTCAAATACAACAGCAGCAGATTTCAAACCTACCAGCAGGTGAGACAAAGCTTTACAGACTTGTCATGTTTTTGTATTCCTCCCCTCTGTACCCTTTCAGTTGTGTCTTCTCAGAGCTGCTATAGATGTTAGTGTTGAAAGTGTTCAAAGAGCGGCTCTACTCTTTTAATCCCAGTGGGGATAGTTACCGGCGGCCAGTGGCTTTTCTTAAAGGGGTCATATGATGCGATTTCAAGTTTTCCTTTCTCTTTGGAGTGTTACAAGCTCTTGGTGCATAAAGAAGATCTGTAAAGTTGCAAAGACTAAAGTCTCAAATCCAAAGAGATATTCTTTATAAAAGTTAAGAGTCAACCACGCCTACCTAAAACGGCTCGTTCTAACACTTGTATGCCTAAGGTTAAAAATAAATGACATTTATAGTGAATGCGCCTATGAATGGTTTTATTTTTACGATTTAGTTTTAATCCAAATGATGCGTGTGCTAAGTGAGTGAACATCAAAGATCACACAACAGAATTGCGCGCGTGCTCTCTCTCTCTCTCTCTCCCTACCGTTAAGTAATTGTGCATTGTTTTACTTACTTGTTTTTGACATATCCGACCGAACTACAAACTTTCCAGTGATGTCTGTGAGAAAGATATATTCACTCGACAAGCTCGCGCATCTGCGCCGCCGCGCAAGCTCGTGATTATGGTAAGGGGTGTTACATTTCCGACGCGTGCTTGTGGTGTTTGGCCAATCACAATGCACTGGGTCAGTTGGCCAATCAGAGCAGACTGCGCTTGTCGGAAGGAGGGGGCTTTGTTGAAAACGACGTGTTTGAGAGAGGCGGGGCATAGAGGACCTACAATAATGTACAGTATTTGAAAAATAATGTGTTTTTTTAACATTAAAGCATGTCAACATATTCTGTTACACCAAATACACAAAATAATGATCTTTAAAATAGCATCATATGACCCTTTTAATGTGCCCTATGAGTGTCATTGCTGCAATGAGGAAAAGAACTCTAGCACAGCAGGACCTCACCATTTGTGCTGCTGATTATTATTTTTACTGGCCTGTTCTGTTCCTTATTAGGCCCAGCTGTCTCTGTTGAGGGTAGAAGAGATGCACACACACACATAAGAAGAACACATAAACTGCCAAAAGTTCTGCAAAGCAAAGTACAATTAGAGTAGTAATTTACCCTGTTCTGGTCTAATCTAGTCTGTGCTGATCCAGTAGGGTCATTCCTAGTCTGGTTTGTTCGTGTTTTGTCTTGTCTGGCATTCTCCAGTGGGATGTCTGTCATCGTATTCTCTTAACTGCTGTTTGCTTGAAGACTAAGGGCCGGTTCACACAGTAACTTGTAAATAACTTCTTCTATGTAAATAGCTGCTAAACGGACGTCTTTGACAATTGCGGTATGTCTTGCTGCTTGCACATAAGCTTTCTGTTTTGAAGACACTGTGTAAGGTTAAAAGAAGTTCAACTTTTAAAAACATCTCAAGACCTTGCCTTTCTTTCATTCATCAGCGCTGCAGCTCTGCAGTTGGATACTATTGTGTGGCGTCTCGTGTTTTTTTTTTTAAAGCAAAAATGCGTTCTTGTGTGAACAGAAGGGGTTCTAAAAGTTAAAGGTATAGTTCACTCAAAATTGAAAATCCTGTGATCATTTACCCATCCTCTTGTTCCAACCCTGTATGACTGTTCAACATAAAAAAGGAAATTTTGAGCAGTGTCTTCACTGGTTTCCAGAAAAAAGTCATAGATGTTTGGAATGCTATTAGAATGAGTAAATGTTAAAAGAATTCTCATTTTTTTGGTGAACTGTCCCTTTAAGGGATGGCTTCAACATAGACAAGCATAAAGATAGCTTGTTTAAATTGTGACTGCCTGAAAAAATCATTAATCTGTTCTTATATGACACTATCTCTTCCAGTGCTCATATTATACAGCTCATCAATACCTCAAATCAGCTTAACATGCTCGAAAGTTTGATTAAACCAGCAGATTGTGCTCTCTCTCTCTCTCTCTCTCTCTCTCTCTCTCTCTCTCTCTCTCTCTCTCTGTATCTCTGTCTACCAGGGAAATTGATTAGGTTTCTGCTATTGTTGGTTTAATTTTGAATAGGAGTCATAATTAAATGATGCATGTTTTATGTTGTTTTTCTGTCATACATAAATGAGGGATTTGCATTTTCCTCTAATGGAATTATAGCTGAGCCCATGAGTAACTCTCATTCTGAGGCAGATTTACATCTGAACACTGATACTCAATGCAAATAACAACAGGAGGAAGCAGGAGCACGAGTGAGAGATTAGCCCCTTGTTTCCTGAGCAGTCTGAGCAAACCATCTTTAATGTGGTGTCTGCAAATGGTAAACTGGAAGGAGCATAATAAAGGTTATATTGATGAGGAGAAGCAAACAAGGAAAGATACTCAAGAGCAGCGAGGGCAGGTTAATGGTGCATTGCAGCCTTCATTATCAAGCTGAGATCCCGTTGATGCCAAAGTCTGATTGGTCCCTAGTGAGCTGAACTTTGAACCTTAAAGCCTTTTTACATTGAAGTATATTGAAGTTTCCTCTAATGGTATTGTATTCACAGCACGGACCATCAAGCGCCCTCATTAAGACCTGCTTTTGCCTAAAGAAAGACTTCTGCTCATAAATCTCAGTAGTGATTAGAGGAGAACATTCCAGTCCAAAATCAATAATAAAACTGGCCTGCAAATTGGATTTGTTGTATTTTTGAGAGCTGGTAGGAGCTGGATTCAGATTGCTGTTTCTCTCTAGAGCTAATAAGAGGTTTCTGGACTCATATCGAATAATTGGCCCAATGTCACATTTCTACCCTTTCTCTAAATGTGCTAAATTACTAGCAATTACAGCTAGCAAAAACTCAGTAACCCCATTAAAGCTGCTATGAGCATGTGTGTGAGTGCAGGGTACATGTTAGCGTGTGTGAGTGTGTTGTGAAAGCAGGCTGAGGAACGTCAGTAATTACAGCTGTCGTCTGGGTTACATACCAAGGAATGGTTCAGACATGTTTAAACACTGGATGATTATTTAGGCTGGGGGAATAAACCATTGCCAGCTTTTCCTCCAGGACATGATGGTTAGAGAGATGCATTTACCCTGATTCCAGTCACATGCATCAAGCTCTCATAATACATAGAGATTTGAGTGCCATTGTCGAATCTTCCCTCCTCATGCACTATAATGTGAGTCCCAACGCAGCTGTTCACCATTTTCCATCCGAAGAGGAAGAGGTTGTATCTCAGCAAAATGGATATAGCTGAAAATAAATGTGGATGCTGATCACTTCAGCAAGAGTATAGCTCAGTGATGTGAATCTGTTTGAAGTGCTTGTGTTTTTCTCAATTGTAGTGCTGCTGTGAACTTTCAGTCACACAGGAAAAGATTGGCTGCTCTGAACATTCCCCATGGCTGACCAGAGATCAGTGTATTTGAACCTCATTTGTCATGATAGAGCTATATGAAAAGATAAATTATGATTGATAGAGATGGTTTTTGATAGACGAGAGTCGTGATTTGTGGTTTCAGGGATCTGAAATCCACTTACCTGAGCAAATTTCACTGCCTGAAGGCTGAACCTCAGCTGCAAGGCTAGAGGAGGCATGCAAACATTACAGCAAACGTGTGTGTGTGTGTGTGTGTTGGAAAGACATGTCAGAGCCCAGATTTATGAGCCTGCGAACTGCTTTTAATTATGGGAAACACTCAGATTCTTTAGCAAGGCCTCTCTCTCTCTCTCTCTCTCTCTCACACACACACACACAAACACACACACACAATCACTCATAGACATATCACAATGGAAACAGTGTGTTGTGGCTTTGACTTAAGTGTTTGTGAACTCTGTTACCTTTCCCTCCCTCTTTTTCTTTCTCACTCAATTTGAGACTGTGTATTCGAAGTGAAACGCGTTTATTGTTTTTCAATTGACCGTGATCTGACTTCTCTTGACCTCTGACCCCTGTATTGCACTTCATTATGAAATACCAAAGATCTGCATTATAGTCAATTCTTCTATGAAAAGCTGTAGGTGTTTCTGGTGAAAAAACAACCTCAGAGCCACACTGCTTCTAGCAAAGTTCAAGATCCAAAGCCCTGTGTGCCACACGTCTTTGTTTCTTAATGTCCCAGCCTTCTTGTTGTGTGATGAGGAACTCTTTGATCAAATATTCTTTTAGGTGAGAGCACACAGAAGATGCTCCAGTCAGGGGAAGAGACAGAGAGGAGGTGTAGTGTCGACGATGGCGTCATCATTATCATTAGGCGGGTTCGACTTTGGCTGCGTTTGCCTTTACTGATCAGTGAGATTTTGGGGGAGGAGTTGAAAAAAGAGCTATCAAATTGGACATTTTAAACTTCTCGTAGTGATGTTCACAGTGTTTGTGTACTTTGTTGGAGACAGAGTGGATTAGATTAAATATTTCTCAGATAAACACACTTTTGAATTTCATGTCTAGCAACCAGAAACAGAGAAGAATGTTTAGAATGTTGACGTACTTTTATCAGTTTTATTTTGATGAACATAACATTTGTAACGGTATGACATTAAGATTACATGAAAAGAGTTTTTACTGTTTTAAAAACACTGATGTGTGAGCATTAGTGGAACTTGAATGATCCGAATAAATATGAAAGGCACACCATCGGTGAGTCTGACCAATCGTGAAATGGCTGTTATCATCAGAGCTCTTGCAGCCACTCTGGAAAAATTCTGCTGGCTGATCCAACCGACTGCCCTCGAATCGCTCTTGTAGTACTCTGATGGCATCAGCACCACACCAGTCAAAACAAAATTTCTAACCGACATGCCCTGCTCAAGACTCAGATCGTTCTGTGCAGCGTCAAATATGAAGTCAAACAGACCTCATGTCACTCAGATAGTATTGCAGTGACATTCATTGAGTTTTGGTTCCCTCCTCAATTCATCTCTTGCTCTTATATGTTGAAGCTCATTTGGAGTCATTATTCTTTTGCTCATTAAATTTCTGAGATGTTGTATGTTGAGAGGGGATAAAAGAGTCTGCATGCATGTGCATTGTAGCCATTCTTTAGGATCATTTGAACAGCTTCATCAGGCAAAACATCAGAAGATGATTCAAGTTGAGATTAATGGCTTCACACACAGTGTGTGCATCAAGAACTTATGTTTCAGATGCTTGCTGTGAAGATGTCCTCTAAAAGATTTGTGTCAGTTGATTTGAAGTGTATCATTCACTCAGATGTTTCTGTTTCTCCCACAGGTTTGACAAGAGCAACCTGAACAATGCAAACTCTGGTAAGGAGTTTAAGTAGTGCTCTAATTTTGCTTTCATCTCTTCAGTGAATGAACATCAAGTGAACTTTTTCCAGAGTTGCTTTGGTCTAATTCTGAATGGATGAATTTAAAAGGAAACACAATGAGGGCTGAATTTTAGTCTTTTCTTGTGAGAGCAAGTTAAAGTCGTACAGTGTCTCAGGTCTCTGCGAGAAGCAAATTGGGACCGCTACATGTAGTGGAGGAGCAGCTCTTGCTCTGTGAATCGTTTCTGACTTTCATTACGTGTAAGTTGAGTGTTAAACGCTCCTTGGCCTTCGTTCTTGTTCCTTTTTAATGAGCTGCTGCCTGTTAGGAGAGGGCATGTGCCAAGGCTGTGGTGTTTTCCGCTCTCTTGGCATTGGTAGAGGAGGAAGAGAGCGAGGAGGAAAGGACTGTCTCACAGTCTGTGAGGTGCAGCGATGCAGAGCAGGTTATCATCACTCACATTGATCCACATTAGAATTCAGCTCTAGCTCCAAAGCTTCCTGGCATGAGCAGAGGAGGAATGCGTTTCCGAAAACCTGATTTGGCCCTGTGCACGCTTTCTCTAGACAGGAAAAAAAGACTCTTCAATTCCGTAAAGCGGCCAAGTTTTGAGAGCTGGATTGGAGCGGGCATATCTTTAGACACAGGCGTAGATTTAGCCACGCAGTGCGCTCTACAGTGCATGTTAGCCCGACATCCCAGCTGGGTGTTTTCATATTTTACCTCTCGAGGTTTGTGAAGCAACACACATGATTGCTGGATTAGGAAGGCAAATCTACAAAGGGCATTGCAAAGCTTTGAACACAGATTTAGCATATTGAGACTGAACCCTCAGAGCCAGCATCAGCTAATGTGATTAACACCCATAATTAAAATCGTTTTTTTAACTGGCTTCTCCCAAAGCATTAAATAAACAGAACATCTTCTTGTGTAACTCTGAATAACTTAATATTGAACAAATATGCATAAGCGATTTGTGCATGTAGGCAGTTTCTGAATAATAATACCTCTAAGTAATAATGGAGTCATCAATTGCCATGAGGAAACTACACTACAACACTAGTATTTGCACGTTTTCTGGTTTACAGCTTTACAAATCTTTTACAAATAATGCATTTGTTTTTATGCTGATGCCATACAGATTCACACATGTGTTCACAATTCATCTTTTGAAATTTAAATAATGACAAATTTATTTTCATCTTCTCATAAATCCATCTTCCAAACAGTGTTTTTGCCTTACCCTGAATCTCTACAGTAAGCCTATAAAAATAATTTATATATATATATATATATATAGATCTGTCGGGTCAGGTTTAACTCATGCTTCCGTCATTTTTCTGTGCGTTTATGTCATATTTGTAAATAAAGGAAAGAAGGTCAGGTTACTACTCGATAATGCCCATAATAAAACTTCAACAATTGCTTGGCTTTTCAAAAATGTTTAGTCTGCATAAAATCTCATTTACTAGGTTCATAAAAAAATGTCAATCTCTAAACCAGTTACTACGTTGGTCTATTTGCCTTTAACTAGCCTACTAGCAAAGTTGTAATTGTTTCCATGTTAACTTATTCAGATATGAATAGCAATCGATATGTCTAATGCCAAACTTTTGTAAAACATTTTTTTTTAAATGGTAGTTTTAAAAGAGTCAAAACAACTGTGCCATAAAAGCTACTTACTTTCTCTTACTTTTTTATTCCTTAATTTTTGGATGTCTGTCTTTCTTTGATTCTTTATTTATTTATCTGTTTATTTATTGGAGTCAGGGAGTTTTGATATTGTTAAAGACCTTTGCATACATTGTGCTTATGTATTCATTCATCTGCACATAATAGTGGAAGCACAATTCACAATCACCAAAACAATGTTCCTCCGGAAGAAACAATTATGCTTCAACCACTAGAGTGTCAAAAGTTACATAGTGTAGCTTTAATTGCACATAAGTAAAATTATTAAAATAAGATCAGGAACAATTAAAAAGACCTCCTCCAGTTCAGCTATGAAAACAGCAAAAAATAATGTTTCAGTATCCATTAACTAACTGTTTTTTATGCTGGTGACATACTTTTTCACACATCTAGTCACATTTAATCTTAGTAAACAGTATTTGCTTTGTAATTATTTAAGTCAAAATAAGTTCAAGAACTATAAAAAAAGAAAAAATACCCTTGAATCTTCATTAATCGAGTACTCTTCTTTAACAGTGTCAGCAGACAGTCTAATTGAATGTGTGAAGAAGAAGGACCATCAGAAGGTAAGAGCATCATTTGAATACATTAAGCACATAAATACAACAACCTTGCTTTTTCACCCTCTAGGTTTCTCCGATTTTAATGGTTTGCAAGCACATACACCTATTATTTGAGTAGGTAGCTCGGATGTTGTGTTTTGACAGTGATTTAATATGCAAGAGAGCGATCCGTGTGCTTTTAGTTAAATGTTCACTCGGCCTAAAGGATATTCTGTTGTCTCTAATTCAGGACTGACCTCACCATTAAATGTCAAGTATCTTGCAGAGCGGAGGCGGAACCAGATAAATGATCCTGCATATTCTCTTGACCTTTCACTCGTTCTTGGTTTCTATGGTGACCAAACAGGCTTTCTCTAGAATGATAATCTCTCACACCCAGCCCAAAACCTGTTCCCACTCGTAATGCCTCGGTACAGAGCGGAGAAGAGGGGACATTTCAGATATTAATGAGGGTGTTTGGCATGTTGCAGTGGGCAGCTATGTACAGTACACAGCATCCTTTACCTGCTCCAATACATCTTCTTTTAAGAGTTAGTTCACCCAAAAATGACAATTCTGTCAATAATTGCTCACCCTCATGTCGTTCCAAACCCATAAGACCTTCGTTCATCTTCAGAACACAAATCAAGATATTTTTGATTAAATCCGAGACCTCTCTGACCCACCATAGACAGCAAGGGTCCTACCGTGATCAAGGCACAGAAACGTAGTAAGGACATCGTTAAAATGGTCCATGTGACATCAGTGGTTCAACCATAATTTTACGAAGCTACTTTTGTGCGCAAAGAAAACAAAAAGAATGACTTTATTCAACGATTTCTTCTCTTCCGGGAGAGTCCTCCGTCATTATCGATGCATGCGCATGGTACTGCTGACGTTAATGGCAGAGGACTGTCCCGGAAGAGAAGAAATCGATGAATAAAGTCATTATTTTTGTTTTCTTTGAGCACAAAAGTATTCTCGTAGCTTCGTAAAATTGCGGTTGAACCACTGATGTCACATGGACAATTTTAACAACGTCCTTACTACGTTTCTGTGCCTTGACCATGGTAGGACCCTTGCTGTCTATAAAGGGTCAGAAATCTCTCGGATTTCATCAAACATATCTTAATTTGTGTTCCAAAGATGAACGAAGGTCTTAGGGGTTTGGATTGGCATGAGGGTAATTAATGACAGAATTTTCATTTTTGGGTGAACTCTTTTAGTAAACATCTCACAGCTGGACCATAGAACCATAAACAGTCAACTCTGTTGCATGAAATATGCAGAACTACATTCAGACTCTCACACACAGATGCTCAGGTGTGTCTGTAATTACCCGATTGTGGAGTGCAGAGAGTGCACTGTGTGGTGTGTAGATGGTGTCTTCTCTTTCCTCTCAGGGCATTTATCATCAGGAATCTCCTCCAAGTGAGACTGAAAACTGGTGGATAAAAAGTCTCTGATAATACTAATCTTTAGACTCACTGGACTAGTGATAATGCCAGTATTTTATGCCCAAACTCTCTCTGGTGTATAAAAGAGTCATGGCAAGTTTCTGACAGATTTTGGGCTTTATCGCATGGAAGGGTCCTTTGGACCCATTGAGACGGTCACTGGCATGCTTGCGATCAGCCTCCAGCCAACCTTGTGCTTTTCTCCTTAAGCACATCTGAGCCCATCACTAGATTCCACTTGAATAACTGTGTGGAAACCAGTACTTTTTTGGCACTTTGCAATAATTAATAAGACTCAGAGATCAAGGTACCATGTGGCTTCCTGTAATGATGCTCTCTTTGGTTTTCTGTTGTTTGGGATGTGTTTATCTCAGTGTTTGTTTGTATGACTGGCAGCTTTTTCTCTGCAGTTGAAGGAGCTGCATAAGAAGGGGGCTGACCTGTGTGTGCAGGACGCTGTGGGCCGCACCCTGCTGCACTATGCTGTGGAAGTGGGAAGCAAGGAGATCGTCAGATACATCATTGATAATGGTAAAATGATCACGTAACACATGTCTGTAATAGCTCTCAAAAACCGCTGGCATAGAGAAAAATGGCTTTATCTGTGCAATTTTTATGCCTGTATGTATGCTTTTTACAGCTCTTCATTAAGCAACACACCATCACCTCAGGGCACATGCTTTAGTGCGGTTGCAAGGTTTGATTTTTCCCCCTCTCTTTTTCCACAGCACCCACTGATATCCTGGATGTAACAGAGAGAGAAAAGTGAGTGTCTTACTGAATGCACACTGATGCCACTTGTTATTTTTATCTGTTGACAGTAAAAGTTCAAGTTCTATTTTATGATACTGTAGTCAGGAAGGCCATGGTTTTTTAAGAATTATCTTGTTTCATTTTTAGCAGACATTTTAACAGCCTCCAAACTTGTCTTGTGTTTTCTGCCTCCTTTCCTCTCTATTTATCTCTTGCTTCCTCTCTGTCTCTCTTTCTTTCTTATTCAGTGGAGAGACAGTATTGCACAAAGCGGCCTCATTGTGTCAGAGGACAATCTGTCATTACCTAGTGGAGGCGGGATCATCTCTCATGAAGACAGACTTACAGGTGAGATAGATATGTAGAGAAATACACTTTATGTTCATGTTTGATGCTGGAATAAAGGGAATAGTTCACCCAAAAATGAAAATTCTGTACTCATTTAATCTATCTCATGTCATTCGAATCCCATAAGACTTTGTTAAAGGTCAATCTTCGAAACACAAATTAAATTGATTATTTTTCAGATTGTTTAAATATAAATAAGCACATAAAGTGATCGTATATATTAACAAGACTTGGATTAAATGGTTTGATTTCTATGGATTTGCTTTACAAAGCCATTAGTACCTTTTTGGATCTTCTAAGTTTTGGTTACGTGGCCTTTCAGTGAAGTAACAGAAAACTCTCAGGTTTCATAAAAAAGATCTTAGTTTGTGTTTCAAAGGTTAACCAAAGTCTTATGGGTTTGGAACAACATGAGGGTGAGGAAATTATGATGAATTCCCTTTAATGTTCATAGCGGTCCACTTACATGCACAGAAAAGTCTCATGACCAGGTCTGGTGTTGTACCTGACAAAAACACAATGAGAAATAATGTCATAGCATTTGATAATGTTATCGATACACATCCTGTCAGAGGTTATTCCCTGTTTGTACTTGATATGAGAATTTTAGGAAGGAATAATTTGGGTAAGTTCTGAATACAGATTCATGCCAAGAACATCGTTCTCTGTAGACGTTTGTGGCTTTTGGATCTCTCTCATTTTGGCTGCAGCCTCCAGCTGGTCTCCATCCCTGAACGTCTCTGTACTCAACTGCTCTGTTAGTCAGTGCTGACTAAGACCTCCGCATGAAACAAGGAACCATTCTTCCCCCCAGCAGCCCACCCTCTCCCCCGCTCACCTCCACACATCCAGCCAAGTGACTCAAGATGTCCTGCAGCACTTCTGCTTGGTGTACCGCAAAAATTACACACAGCTGTAGACACACTAGTCTCTAATTACTGCCTCTCGTCTTTTCAGAAGAAACATCAATTTAAAAACGACTTATTTGAAGAGATCTGTGAGGGAATGATTTTCCACAAAGCACAGAAATCTCATTTGTGGTTAGAACTCTCAGCAGTACTTTCTATCACTTACGCACTCTTTTTTTTTCCTGTAGTTTTGTACTTTTGCACCACTGGGCCTCAGTGTAACGGTCTCCTCTAAAGCTCACAGCAGTCTAACGGACCTTTCCCAGCTCCCATCTGATAAATGTGTGAGACGGCACTGATTGAGTCTCCTGGGTGCCGATGGACTCCAGTCGGTCTGACAGCCTTCAGTTCTATCTGTGTAATTATCAGTAACTCATGTGCTGTTGAGGGAGATGAAATGTGTAAAGTTACCGGGCTGACACGGTCTGAGAGCAGACCAAGATGAAGATTTTTCTCTTCAGAGGATATCCCATGATTTTCATCTTCCCTCTTCAGGGAGACTGTACTCCTGTGCTCCTGACAGACTCAATCTGAACAAGACCTGATTTAGCGGTGCCATTTTCCTGGACTGTGGTCTGTTGCGATTAACAGCTCCATCAGCACTTTTCTGCTCTGCTTTCCCTCTGTTTCCATCAAATCTAAGGATCCTGCACTCTTGGTTTCATTCAATCCAGAAAACATCAAATCCAGCATAGAGTGACTCATCGTTCATTGCCCTGTGATGAAGCACACTCCTCCTCTCTGACTCCCTCCCTCTGTTTTTCTTTTACATGCTATCCATCTGTCTTTGTCTTTATATAATAAGCATCTCCATTATCCTTTCCATCATTTTCCCCCTCTCTCCTTTGTGACTTGTACGAGGATGAATGCTGGTTTTTAAAAGCACTATAAAAGTGTGATTATATTTCTGTTCGGCATGCCCTGCAGGGATCAGTCTCTTAACCACAAAGCTTTTTTTCCTCCTGTGTAACTCGTCTCTCTTAGTTCATCATGGCTAATATTCTCCATTTTGACTCTGTAGCTTTTGACAGCTTTTCCAGAACTGCCTTTGTTTGCATCTGAAAGGCTGAAAATGGAGGGATGCAGCACCGCGCTGGAAGTTGCGCAGTATGAAAAGGTGCTGGTGTCCGGTCGTACTGTACACTCCTGAACAAAGGCGGCTTCATCTGTGCCGCAACAATGAAAGAGCCTGGCGGGCAGTTTGAGTGCTCCGAGCTCTGTTCAACAGGAACAGTTCAGGCCTTTCTCTCAGACTCTCTGCACCAGGCCTGCCTGCAATTAACAACAATTACTGTTGAGCAATGCTGGCACCAGCAACATGGAAAAAGAGAGGCGTTTTCTGAGACAACATGTTTACCATTAGAGGCTCAGTGCAATCTTTGATTTCCCTTCTTCATTGTTCATGAAGACTTTGTCTGAAAGAAACGGTCCCTAATTAGGGCCTGGAGCAACCATAGAGGTTCTCTGTGTATTTTGCTTCAGTTCACGAAGCGTGTTCTTGAACTTCAGCTTGTGTTTGTATTTGTAATTGGAGTCTCAATGGAACAGAGAACAGTTTAATGATAAATTGTCAATTTTATATATATATATATATATATATATATATACAGCCAAAATTATTAGAACACTAGTATTTTTACTAGCTAAAAATGGTTTTAAGTCAGTTATTTCTATCTTTTGCTGTAGTGTTCCAGGAAGAAATATCAGTTTACATTTCCAAACATTCATTTTGCCTTTAATTGTAATAATCCAGTGAGATTTTTGTTTGCACAAGGAGTCTGACAACAGCTACAGTACTGTGAAAAGTTTTAGGCACTTGTGTAAAAATGCTGTAAAATGAGGATGCTGTCAAAAATAATGCCATAAATAGATTTTCTTTATTAATTAACTTCTATTAACTAAATTAAATCAACATTTGGTGTGACCATCCTTTGCGTTTAAAGCAGCTTTTGCCCTCGGTGCATTTGCACATAGTTTTTCAGGTAGCTTTGCAGGTTGGTCTCATGAAGCATCTTGGAGACGTTGCCACAGTTCTTCTGGATTGAGTGTCTCAGTATGTTCTGTTTCTTCATGTTTTTTCAGACAGACTGATGATGATCAGATCAGATCTCTGTGTGGAGCACTGGCTGTTGACAGGCTCTTTGTGCAATATATATATATATATATACCTCTCCAGCATTTGTTATGTTTGGACTTAACATGTCTCTTCATTTCCAGGGCGACACTCCAAAGCATCGTGCCGAGAAGGCGAAAGATGCAGAACTTGCGGCGTATCTCGAGAACCGCCAGCACTACCAAATGATCCAGCGTGAAGACCAGGAGACTGCAGTTTGACCTTTAACCTCTCACCCTTCACCTCAACCGGTGTCCTCCTTTTTGTGCCAAAACAACAGTAACCAAAAATGTATCGCTAAACCCGTCTTAGGCTCTCTGGACCGCAGGGGGGTGATGCATTCCCAGAGAGGGAAGATGGTTGCACACTTTACTGTCTCTGAAGAGGTCCCAAGCTTTCATCATCTTTCTCTGAATGACCTGTTGGACTTAATGTCTTTCATTTCATTGCACTGCCAAAACATCTTAGAGTTTGTATGTATGAGACAGAATGCATATGTTAATGCACTCATCAAGCTTGCTTTTCTAGTTTGACAGTGCTGAATGTTAAATGAATACGATGAGGATTTAAAGATGCATGGGCTGGTGTCTGTCTCCAGATTCATCCCTGCCTGTATGTGTATCTGGAGCATTCACCGTAGCCCTGACTCCACAGCTAGGTTCAGTATTGCTCTGTCATGACTGAGCATTAATCTGGTTAGTGGTACACAACAGGAACCGGAACCGGAACCAACATTTCAGTTAGCGGACTTATTTCCTAAAGACAGTAGAGCCATTAAATGACGTTGTTAATGTATAATGTAACTTTTTAGATTGCCCTGCACTGAAAGAGTTTAGGTTGGTTCAAAGATAGGAATGTTTTCTGGGGTCTTGATCTGAAGCATCAGAACCATTTAGATATTTTTCAGGTGTGTTATTGGAAGGATTTTGCATTTTCATAGATTTCTGTGCTGTTTCTAATAACATTCGGTACTGTAAATGTATGCGAGTAGCTTTCTGTTTAAGAGGCATTTGCACTGTAGCTTTGATTGCCTTCTTTATTCTATACTCTGGATTTATAATTGTTGTACTAAAATATAGCTTCTTTCCTACAATATTTTTAAGTAAATAGATGTTTATATAATTTGTAGCTCTAAAAGATGTGTTGTCATGTTTGTATTATAAAATTCTGTAAATTAGATTTTGGTTTATTGGAGTTGAGAACAGATCTCTCTGTGATTCAGCTCATTTTTCTTAAATCTTTGTGATAAAACAACGCACTCTATAAGAGTTTATTGTTTTGTTTCGTATTTTTTTAGTGCTGATGTCTTAATGCAGATTGAAGATTTTAGGATGCTTATATTTATTTTCCTAAATCATTATATATTGAAATTCATTTGGCCTTGAAAGCATACATATTTAATAATATTAGTAATTTATGACTTATTTCAATTATTTACATTATAGAATTAAACTCTTTTCTGTCCAGAGAGTTAGGCCTACTACTTCATTAATGATATGACCCACTGATTTCAAAGTTCTTTACAATGTAATTATACAGTATGTATGCATATTCATATTGTAAATAAGTAACACTGTGTTTGGGTTGAACACACTAGCATCTTTAGTGCTCTTCATTTGCTGTTGGAAATGCATTTTCAGCACTCTCAATTGTGTTTTTTCTTTGGAAAGTTTGAGTGTTTCAAAAACCATCCATCCATCTCACCCTTTTACCCAGACAGCTGTTTGCAGGAGCCTTGATGAACGAGATTATATGAATGACATCATATGCCATAAACACTGAACTCTTTCAATAAACATGTGATATGTCTTAATGATCGATTTTCTTAAATTCTAAGACTTTTTTTAAGGGTTTGAGATCCCCCCCCCCCCTCAGACATTTTTAGTATGAAAAATAGGGTTTGTTGTCCATGGCAATTTTCTTTTTTCATCCTTTCATCCTTTTCATGTTCCATCTGAGAAGTGTAAAGGCTGATTGTGCGATATGTATCGGATACAAATACATTTGGATTTTGAAGTTTGGTGTTGCTAAATAACTCCTGTACTATAGTAATCAAAAAGCTGTTTCATATAGTTTTTAGACAAATGCATTCTGGGAGAAAACAAAGCTAGCAGATGGGCTGACACTGTAAATGGTCTTCAAACCAACAGAGCTTTTTACTCAATCATGCCAACTTCATTCCTTTACTGAGGAATTTCGGTCATTTAATTTTACTGTTTGAGATAAACAGCCTACAGGAACCTCTCGCGCTCACAGTGATTGAAGGGATTAAGAGACAATTTTGTGAGTTTTGAGGCTTTCAATTTCTTCATAATTATCAAAATCCTAAAACTTGAGTTTGTCAGACTAATGGGCAGAACAGATGGCATAGATTTGCCACAAATGTTTGAACTCATTCATCAACACTTGGAGTGAGTTCTTCTTATGTACTGTAGTAGTTAGAACCAATTTTAACGTCGCTTAAATCTTAGAAAGCAGTTGTACTGAGTATATGATATCAATTCAGTTTGTTACAACATTTTATTTCTTATTTAAAATATGTTAGATCCTTGCTTCATCTTTTTTCTGTAAAACGTCTAATTGATTTGGACTTCCTTAGAAATACAACAGCCTTAAATTACTTAAGTGATTTACAAATGTGAGTATGTCCACAATTCCATACCTGATTATTAGCCATATGAATTTTTGACTGGCATGATGATGTTCTACTGCATGAACTCAGTCCACAGCTGTTAACTCAGTGCAGTTGATATTTTAATGGGCAGTTTTTAAGTGCTGTAGACTGCATTTAGCATATCATTTCTATAGCTCTAAGGGCAAGTGAGGTCTATCCCCTGCATTAGCCCACTGTACCTTTTAATTGAGTCTGGTTTTAAGATTTTATCACTCAGGCTTTAATGATATGGTTCTTTTGTTTTGGTGTTGATCCATTTACTCTGTGGCACATTCAGAAGAGATTGTAAGTGATGCTGGCAGCATCATATTACCCTTCGGTCTCCTCTGCTATGATTTATTCTCGTCCAACCAACAGATCATGATTATGGTTCTGTACAGTGCTTCATTATAAATAATTCATACTTACATGTTTTCTCAAGCAGCTATTTACAGCTCGACCTTACATGTCCTTCCATTATCTTATTAAAACCAAGTTTTAAATGCATAGCTTATTTCAGCCTCTCTTATCATCAGCAATACACTGTCGGCAAGCACTATTTTTGCCATTATTTACTTTTCTCTAATATTTTTTCTTCATATAGTGGAGACACGATTGAAGTATATTCCATGTTCAGTACTTCATCACCAACATTATGAATGCACACTCCATTTTTTGCGGCATTACTTAAGAGATGAGATTTTCCAAGAAATCTCACATTTTCTGATTCTTGTATGGAAATCTTACTTTTACTTTCAAAGGGCAAAGCAATTTAATATGTTTGTATTTTGAATTTCTGAATGTGTTTTGTTGCTGTGTATTTTCTTGCTCAATTAAGCTCTTAAGCCTTTAGCCATCATTGAGATGCATGAAAGCAGTAGGAAGATGAAGAACTGCCTCTTTCATTGATTTACAGGGAAAACGATCTGACATTGACACTAATTTGTGTTTAGTTTTAGGTTTCCTTTTTTTTTTTTTGAGTTGCATGCAATTCAAGGCTAGAATTTGTTTAGAGGTTTTGATAAGGAGAAAGCAGAAAGCATGGTGCAATATATTGGGTTTTAAGAAATGTTTTATGAATATTTTGTTCTGTAATGTAGTTAATATTTATCTCTTCAATGAACTTATCTGTTACTGTCTGGCTAATAAAATAATAAAGCATACTGAACAGCAAGGTCATTTGTTGCTTATAACAAACAGATATTTTAAGAGACTGGATGTTGAGTGATCTTTCTGTCCTTGTGATAATCTTACAAAGCCTATGAATAATCATTTTAAAGCAAAAATGGTGTGATTCATCGTAAAGAATAAGAGTGAGATCTGATCCACCACTTGAACAAAAATGCTTTTTCTATGCCTTAAGGACTCTTCAGAGTAAACAGACCCTCATACTTGAGGCCATTGTTTTCATATAGATTGATTAAACTGTGGCTGCTTATTTTAAGGTAAGATGCTCCACATCAGTATTGAATTTGTAAGTATGTTTTTTTTTTGGTGGCTATTTATTTTTTTATTTGCTAGTGGGACATTCAATACTGATACGTTTGTAAGAAGACCCGTTTATTTTTATTTCAGTTTCTATTTATTTATTTTGTTTTCAGTAAGTAATGTTAGTACTTCAACTTTGAAATGTTGCCTTGACAACTGAAGCTTTCATCTAATATATTTAATTTATGTTTTAATGGTTTTTTTTAGTTAATTATTATAACTCTGTTTACATTTAATGTGTTTTTTTTTTTTTTTGAGGAGCCTTTGAAAAATGTATATTCTCCTGTATTGCATTCAGGTCTCCCTCTAATCCACAGATGGGTGAATGTGAGGCTTTGCAGTCTGCAACAGCTCAGAGCTGTTTTAATTTTAATATAGTTGTATCATCCTTGGAATGTATTAACAACATTTCCCTCAGACTCTGATACCGAGTTTCTTTTTGTCTCTGCAGGAGTGAGCTGCCGGCTCAGAGATGAGAAGCAGGTATTAATGCAATTCCTGTCCCTGGCTGCAGCCAGTAAAAGAGTCATGATATCAGTCATTGAGTTATCACCATATATGATATGAATGTAGAATCCTGGTGATGTGGGATGTCTATTATTATAACTCTGTTTACATTTAATGTGTTTTTTTTTTTTTTGAGGAGCCTTTGAAAAATGTATATTCTCCTGTATTGCATTCAGGTCTCCCTCTAATCCACAGATGGGTGAATGTGAGGCTTTGCAGTCTGCAACAGCTCAGAGCTGTTTTAATTTTAATATAGTTGTATCATCCTTGGAATGTATTAACAACATTTCCCTCAGACTCTGATACCGAGTTTCTTTTTGTCTCTGCAGGAGTGAGCTGCCGGCTCAGAGATGAGAAGCAGGTATTAATGCAATTCCTGTCCCTGGCTGCAGCCAGTAAAAGAGTCATGATATCAGTCATTGAGTTATCACCATATATGATATGAATGTAGAATCCTGGTGATGTGGGATGTCTATAGATAAGACTGATCCAATGTTCAGCGAGTTAGTTCCATTTTTTTTTTTTGGAGTAGTCATAGTTAAGCTCAGCTCTTCGCAAGATTTTATTTGTTTGTTTGTTTTTATTTAATTATTATTTTTATTGTTATTTATCTTATTTGTATTTTGTCTTTTTATGATTGTGTTAGAGTTGAAAATATCAAAAAAAAAAATTAACATTAGTGAATACATCGCAAACTAATGTTGAACAATTTTTTTTTACAGAATTTATTAATCACATTTTTCAGGTTGTGTAAATTAACATGATTGAATGCAATATGAATTAACAACAAACAATAATGCATAAATCAACATTAACCTAGATTTACAAAATGCTGTAATTGTTGTCCATTGTTAGTTTATGATACCTAACTAATGTTGCCAAATGAAACCTTGCTGTAAAGTATTACAACTATTTACTTATTTAAATGAATAACGTCTTCACTGGTTTGGGTGCTTCTGAATTGTGAACTTGTTTAAAGTCATTGCGGTTGTCTTTCATTACATGTTTATTAGTTTTTGGAGTAAAAAAAACAAAAAAAAAACATCAACATGTGTATGTGAGAGGAAGTCCATTCTTCTGGTCATGCTTCAAGTGACCCCTGCCTTTTAAATAATCACAACGTGAATGCCGGCTACACTTCTATCTTAGAAAGCACAGATTTCATCCTCAACTCTTTAACCTTTTCATGGACAAACACTCACATGCTGGTTCACCCTTTGCCCATTTGGCAAGCTTTCCCATGACTTCCCGCTGATCCAAAGAAGCAGCGAGTGGGTAGAGGAGGAGTGTTGGGGTTTTGGTGATCATTTGTGGTGGCTGTGAGCTGCCTTTTATTCAAGCAGTGATTGTTCCATCTGGTCCTCTGTTGTGAGACAGAAGTTTCAGTGTGGAGAGCAGGGAGTAGGTCTTGCCTTTTCAGGTTGCTACAAAATATGTAGCCTGTATAAACCTCCCAACCTCTCAACCCGTTCTTTCTTTCCTTTTGTTCCTCACCCCACTTTGATTTCCTCCATCATTTCCCCTGTGGTCTTTTTAGTCCTCTTGGAGCGGATGTGTGAAATGGACAGTACTTTGCATTCAGAAGTTGCTTATTTATTTATTTACAATGGAGCCCACCTAAAAAAAAAAGTCTAATTGAGATTATTTTAATTGCTTCTATTTAAACACGTTCCATTTGAAATATATGCTATAACTTATTTGTGATCAATTCCACTCGATCTTAAATTCACATGTAATGCATGTTGCCATTATTTTTAAAGCAAGATCTACAGAAGATGTGCTCTGACTGAAATGTAAAGCTTACAGAAAAACTATACAAATCAATTTTTCATTCTGCCATCATCAAAAATGTCATCTGATGCTCCACGTCCTTGTAGTCATTTTTTTATTGATCTATAGGGGCCATGTGTGTGCTGCTGTAAATGTGCATGATTGTGCAACAAGTGTGTGTTTGTATAGTAAGAGTAGGTTTTACAGTATGTGAACGCTATGAGAATGGCTTTATGGGTAGAGTTGGCTCAGGTCATTGTATGTTCTGTTCTGGCCTGTCTCAGCCTGCAGAGAGATTGTTTATCTGACTGCACCATTTGTACTATTGAGCCGCTGTTTCCTGCCCTTAGGGGTCTACACACACATTCACAAATACACCCACATGAAATCGCATAGCAGGCAAAAAAGAAGAGAATCTATAGCCTCTGAAAACATTTTAGTTTTTTTAAAAACGATTTAGTCGTTTGCAGTATAAATATACACAAAACTGTAAGAAAGTACTTTTATGATTTCAAGAGATAGCTAGCTGTTATTTGGAAATCAGGATATTACTGTGTTCATCCATACTCAAGTATTTTACAGATTCAAACTGTCCTGTTTTTATTGGTATAGGTGACCTTTTTGTGGTAAGAGACCGAAATTCCAGCTTGGTTTGAACATCCTACCAGAGTTTGTATCCATTACATTTATATTGATTTTTTATTTTTTTTTTATTTTTAAATGATGGTTTGCAAAATTGAGATGGTACTTGTTTGTAATAATTGTGTGGTTATAGTATATAGCTAATCCGGAGGTGCTCTTTCTTGGTAGCCAGGTTCCTACAATGATGCAAGTAGACATCTACTTGTCTCTATGCTGAATTTGTAAATAGTCGTATAGTCAGTTCAGCATTGATCATGGTAGTCAAGATATATTATTGTATATCCTCTGTTGACATAGAAGTCATTTTGTTTTCTCTCTGTACTATTTGTCCTTTGCGTGTTTTGATCATTTGATTTAGTCTTATTGGGTTTCTGTCCTGAGCAACTGCCAAAAGTGTTTGTGAACACAGCCATCTCTGTTATCAATTAATAGTATTCATCTTTTTTATCCTCAACTCTTTAACCTTTTCATGGACAAACACTCACATGCTGGTTCACCCTTTGCCCATTTGGCAAGCTTTCCCATGACTTCCCGCTGATCCAAAGAAGCAGCGAGTGGGTAGAGGAGGAGTGTTGGGGTTTTGGTGATCATTTGTGGTGGCTGTGAGCTGCCTTTTATTCAAGCAGTGATTGTTCCATCTGGTCCTCTGTTGTGAGACAGAAGTTTCAGTGTGGAGAGCAGGGAGTAGGTCTTGCCTTTTCAGGTTGCTACAAAATATGTAGCCTGTATAAACCTCCCAACCTCTCAACCCGTTCTTTCTTTCCTTTTGTTCCTCACCCCACTTTGATTTCCTCCATCATTTCCCCTGTGGTCTTTTTAGTCCTCTTGGAGCGGATGTGTGAAATGGACAGTACTTTGCATTCAGAAGTTGCTTATTTATTTATTTACAATGGAGCCCACCTAAAAAAAAAAGTCTAATTGAGATTATTTTAATTGCTTCTATTTAAACACGTTCCATTTGAAATATATGCTATAACTTATTTGTGATCAATTCCACTCGATCTTAAATTCACATGTAATGCATGTTGCCATTATTTTTAAAGCAAGATCTACAGAAGATGTGCTCTGACTGAAATGTAAAGCTTACAGAAAAACTATACAAATCAATTTTTCATTCTGCCATCATCAAAAATGTCATCTGATGCTCCACGTCCTTGTAGTCATTTTTTTATTGATCTATAGGGGCCATGTGTGTGCTGCTGTAAATGTGCATGATTGTGCAACAAGTGTGTGTTTGTATAGTAAGAGTAGGTTTTACAGTATGTGAACGCTATGAGAATGGCTTTATGGGTAGAGTTGGCTCAGGTCATTGTATGTTCTGTTCTGGCCTGTCTCAGCCTGCAGAGAGATTGTTTATCTGACTGCACCATTTGTACTATTGAGCCGCTGTTTCCTGCCCTTAGGGGTCTACACACACATTCACAAATACACCCACATGAAATCGCATAGCAGGCAAAAAAGAAGAGAATCTATAGCCTCTGAAAACATTTTAGTTTTTTTAAAAACGATTTAGTCGTTTGCAGTATAAATATACACAAAACTGTAAGAAAGTACTTTTATGATTTCAAGAGATAGCTAGCTGTTATTTGGAAATCAGGATATTACTGTGTTCATCCATACTCAAGTATTTTACAGATTCAAACTGTCCTGTTTTTATTGGTATAGGTGACCTTTTTGTGGTAAGAGACCGAAATTCCAGCTTGGTTTGAACATCCTACCAGAGTTTGTATCCATTACATTTATATTGATTTTTTATTTTTTTTTTATTTTTAAATGATGGTTTGCAAAATTGAGATGGTACTTGTTTGTAATAATTGTGTGGTTATAGTATATAGCTAATCCGGAGGTGCTCTTTCTTGGTAGCCAGGTTCCTACAATGATGCAAGTAGACATCTACTTGTCTCTATGCTGAATTTGTAAATAGTCGTATAGTCAGTTCAGCATTGATCATGGTAGTCAAGATATATTATTGTATATCCTCTGTTGACATAGAAGTCATTTTGTTTTCTCTCTGTACTATTTGTCCTTTGCGTGTTTTGATCATTTGATTTAGTCTTATTGGGTTTCTGTCCTGAGCAACTGCCAAAAGTGTTTGTGAACACAGCCATCTCTGTTATCAATTAATAGTATTCATCTTTTTTTTTTTTTTTTTACTTTTTTGTTGACTTTTCATTATATACATTTATAGTACTGTGCTGTATACTGAATTGATATTTTTTAGTCTATATTATTCTTATTATATCGTCTAATAATATAATTATTATTACATTTTTTTAGGTTGACTTACAGTAGAGTACAGGTCTCATGGCTGTGCCTGAGGTCTATTGACTGAGGCTGACGTGGACTGCGACGTCACGGCGGGGTTCATTTAAATGGGGTTCGGGGGGAGAGAAGCAGTTTAAATTAGTTTGGGGGGAAACAAAGAGCCAGAGCAGGAGCCACGCATAAAGGCGGATGCTGGAGAAGAGTTCACGCACGAAACTTCACGAAGACATTTCAGTTTTTCAGTGTGGAAACTTTCAACACAGAAAACAAGTGAGTTCACTTTGTTCTTTTCACATCAACAGTTATCTGACCAGTAGGCTACATGGGTTTTCTGTTTGATTTACTCCGTTAAACTTTTTTAAAAGTACAAGTGGGAAGTTATAAAGCGAAAAAGTGAACATGTAGATTTTTTTTCACGCGATATACACATACGAATAAGAATATTTAGACACGAACCAAGTGCGGACAAGACATTTTTAAAAGTTGACTTTTCTGAGGACTGTTAAACTTGTAAAGAAGAGCGTTTAGACAATCATCCGATATGAATTCAGTGGAAGTATGTGATAATACTCTTGATTTGGTCTAAGGGGTTTTGTTATCCATAAATTAAGATACTAGACGTTCTGAGGTGAGCAAATATTTTTTACTACTGTGTGCCGCGAGCTGTTGCATTCTTGCAATGTAGGAAACGGTTTGCTGAGTTGTAAGACCCTCATCAGTTGATGATGACAATTGATTTCCATAATAGATGAATGTACAAAATATAAAACCACAGATAATGCGAAACGACTACTTGACACTAAATTACACAGTTTAGGTAGAAATAGTACATAAACTACTTGAATTGGTAGTGGACACATGTAAGATTTTTCTACCACAATTTGAGACTTATTAAGTATATTGATTACATTTACTGTCCATAAAGTAAAGTTTTATAGTATTAGTATTATAGGCTGTCGCAAAACCTGTGAGCAGTTTGTTTGTTTTTTTATGCATTTTTGGGCATCATTTAGGCATGTTCTGGATCGCCTCCCCTCTCACTCACACTCAGTGTGCCCAGTTGCTGTGTGGATAGGCAGCTTGTTGTGGCTGTCTTTGCAAAAAAGTTTTTACACAAAGCAGGTGGTGGTCTACACTAACCAATAATGTTGCACAGATGCTTGTCAGTGTTATGAGTGTCTTATTTTTCTATGTACTTTTGACTTTGGCTTATTTCAGCCTGACTGAAATGTAAATAGTAAATAGTGTGTTTTAATTTCTGATGCATATGAAAAGTGTGTGTGTGTGTGTGTCAGCTAATGCCTTAAATGGAGAATCACCATAATTCAGTTCTCTTGCTCAAATCTTGTGTGTGTGTGCACCACATTAGGGATCATTGTGCATTTAATGCTCTTGGCTTCATTCACTCCCTCTCTCTCATCTTGAATAGAGTGATTAAAGTGAGTACGGTCAAAGGGTGCAGGACAGAAAGGAAGAGGACCGCGTTCCATCTTTTCTTCTCTTGCTCTTTGAGAGACCCTTTTCACCTGACCTGCATTCTGACCCCCCCCCCCCCCCCCCTTATCTTT